ACAGCTCAGTTGGTAGAGTGTTTGCCTTGCATGCATAAGGCCATGGGTTCAATCCCCAGCACCAAAAAAAAAAAAAAAAAAGAAGAGGAGAAGAAAAACATCAGTGTAATCCTGTTACTGGCTTCTTCTTATCTTCCAAGTATATAAGTCTTTAAAGTTTAAGGTTTAGAAGCATTTTACCAAACTGGTGTTCTTGAAACTAAAGTTTAAAGTAAAGGTTTGAGATTATAAAAATTATGTTTATTGACTCATAGCTATTATACAAACTAAATATTTTTACTCTTGTTAATTTCATTTTATATTTTCCTTGGAAACCTAACTGTTCTCTGTTAGTGCCTAAAAGAAGTACAACTTCTAAAGAATATCGACCCCAATTAAACAGAAGGGGTAAAATATAAAGTTATAGACCTTAAAGGTAAAACCTGGTACTGTTAAGACTGGTGAAACTGGCATGCTGAATGTTTAAGACCAAAGCTTAGAGACTAAAGTTAAGGAAATAAAAGGTCCAAGAAAGAAAAATAAACCAATATTTGGCTCTTGCCCTCTGAGGCCAGCTTGGACCCAGGGAATGACAGCACTTCTCTAAGGGCTTTGCAACTCTGGGCCACTGACCTCCCAATCAGGAGGACCAATGAGATGCTGGAGTACAGAAAGCCATCCAGTATACAAGCTGCAAATAGGAGGGCCATTGGAGAAGGAGATGTCCCTAATACTTTCAAGGGAAGTCATATGGTCAATGAGATCCTGACCCCTTCTGGAAGATGGCACTAGAGGTGCTAAGAGGCTTCCCTCAAGTTCCCAAGAGTGACCCCTCTGAGGTAACTCAACTGATTCTTAACAATAGATAGGAACAAGGCCAATTTGACCAGATTGATCTTAAAACACCTACCAAAAACAGTTATAACCAAACTACAGCCATACCTGGGCATTTAAAAGAAAAACAGTTCTTTAAATGAAACTTAAAACTTGTGTCAGCCCCGTAGTCCTGGTGCCCCATAAATTCTGAGGCATTTTTCCTTTGCAAGGTTCATATTTACCCTTCCTCACCAAAAAATTGGACTGGCCGCTGTACCTTGGTCTTCCTTACTCTTCAAACTGACCTTTTACCTAATAAGCAAAAGTTTGCCTAATCTGATAATGACACACACTAGATGAGCCCACCAGTTTATTCCCTTACTCATAGGGCTAGAGATATCCACTGGAATTGGCACAGGCACAGCGGAATCAGGAACCTCTATTCACTACTATAAAAAGTTGTCAGAACAGGTTATTGAAGATATTCAACAGGTTTCCGATTTGGTATTGACTTTACAAAATCAACTGGATTCCCTGGGGTCTGTCATCCTGCAAAATCATCTGGGCCTAGATCTCCTTACTTCTGAACAAGGTGACCTCTACCTTTTCCTCAGGGAAGAATACTGCTTCTATGCCAATCAATCAGGACCGGTAAGGAATGAGGTTAAACAACTACAGGACCCACTGGAACAGTAGAAAGAACTAGCTGATTCCTGGTGGGCCTCACTGAAAAACCTAAAACAGTGGACTTCCTGGCTTCTCCCTTTTTGGTGTGTGTGTGGGGGGCATACCAGAACTTGAACCTAGGAGCATTCAACCACGGAGCCACATCCCCAGCGCTATTTTACATTTTATATAGAGACAGAGTCTCACTAAGTTACTTAGCACCTTGCTATTGCTGAGGCTGGCTCTGAACTCGTGATCCTCTACCTCAGCCTCCCAAGTTGCTGGAATTACAGGCATGCACCACCATGCCCAGTGCTTCTCCCTCTTTTAACCCCTCTAATACTCATTTTTCTTATAATAATCTTTTTTCCCCTGCTTTAACTTTGTACAGAAGCAATTTCTTGAAAAGGTTACCTGACTAACACAGATCACCTCCTAAGAACATGCAAAAGCCATTTTCCTCCTTCGCTCACAACATAATTCTCGTAAACCCCATAAGGAATCACCCATTAGATGCTGAAGTTCCCTTTCTCTATAACTCCTCAAGCCACAACCACCAGGACTGTATAACCCCCACCTTCTTATCCTACTCCAGATCTCTAACAGGGAATTCCCCTATTCCACACCTCCTCAGCACTTCCTCACTGGAAGACCTCAGCAGAGGGTAGCCAGATATGATGAATTCGCCCCAAGTCATCTGGAATGAAGGAGGTGGAAACTTAGAACCCTTGGGTGGGACAGACACACACACAACAAGGACAACTGAGGATTCTAATCTTTTGCAGTTTCCCTTACCTGACAAAGTTCCCCTGCCTGCTAAAAGCCCACCCGCCAAAAGTAAATGACAAACTTTTCCCGCAATGTGGCCCTATAAAACTCAGACCTTGTTGTAACCAGTCACCATTTTCCCCTTAAAATGTGCCCCTCCATTGCATAATAAATAATCACTGATTGAGATATGTCTCCCTTTTTTTTTTTGTATTCTCTTTCATTTGCTTTCAATCCCCACCTTCAGAGACTATGTATTAAGGTACTTGAAGCCAGTCTACCATTTTGGAATTCATACATATACATACATGTTTATGTTTGTATGTGTGATTTGTCTAATTTCTACTACTATGCCTTTAAGTGCAATAACTTTTTAAAATATTTTTAATTGCAGATGGGCACGATACTTTTATTCATTACATGGTGCTCAGGATCAAACCCAGTGCCTCACATATTCTAGGCAAGTACTCTACCACTGAGCCACAAACCCAGCCCTACAATAACTTTTATAACATTTAACCAGTCATTCATTCCATCCAGTCTATTTGTGACCTCAAATAGTTCAATTTCTTTTTTGTTTTTAATATTTATTTATTTATTTATTTTGGCGGACACAACATCTTTGTTTGTATGTGGTGCTGAGGATCGAACCTGGGCCGCACCCATGCCAGGTGAGCGCGCTACTGCTTGAGCCACATCCCCAGCCCAAAAATAGTTCAATTTCAAGAAGTTCAATTTGAGTCTTCTATGTCTTCCACATCTCTACTTAACTGTTTGTGCAAATGGAATACAATTCTGTCTTAATGTCTTTCTCTCATCATTCTTTGTCAGTTCCTGCCTGATTTCAATTGATTGAGTCTCCTCCTCATTTATTAAGTATGTTTTCTTGCCTATTTGCATACTCATTAATATCTTTTTTTGCACACCAAACACTGCAAATAATTTTTTTTTAATGTTGGATACTTTTATAATCTTGTAAATTCTCTTGAGCTTCATTCTAGGATGGAGTTAGGTTACCTGGAAACAATTTGATCCTTTTGGGTCTTGCAGTCATTTATTAGGTGAATCCAGAGCATTATTCACTTTAGGGATAACTGTTCCTTGCTACTTAGGGTAAATTTTCTTCAGTACACTACCCAATATCCCATTAATTTTAAGTATTTCCACTGTGGTTGGTGGAAGTAAGCATAGTGCCTAGTTCTGTGTAAGCATCAGGTACTCAATTATTCCCTCTAATCCTTTCAGGTAGTTCTTTTCCAAATTCAGGCATTTGCCTCACATGAATGTCCTAATCAGTACTCTGCTGAATAGTCAAGGTGAACCCACTATGAATCTCTGGATTTCTGTGGCTTTACTGCTCTGTCCTCTCTGGTAATCTGTACGATGCATTCTAGCTGTACTAGATGTCCTAAACTCTTAGCACTACTTCCTCAACTAAAAAGTCTACAAGATTCTACCTCAGATACCCATCCTTGTGTTGCAGCCTGAAAACACACATGGCTATAGGACAGAGCAATCAAAGAACTAATCTGTTTCTTATCTCTTGAGAATTGCTTCATTTGTTCCCTAATCTAGAAAATGTTGGGTTTTTGGGGGTTGTTGCAGGAGAAAGGGGTAAATCCCATCCCTGTTACTCCATGTTAGCTATAAACAGATATTCTGTACCAGAGTCGACAGATTTTATATAATAAGGGGAAAAAAAGTTCATTGATATGGCTCTTAATTCCACATCACAGGTAACATTTAAACAAACTACTGCTTGTTCAGATTGAGTATGACATTAAAGAAGATAAGTAATTATAAAACTATTTTTTATAATATTTCCCCTTAACAAGAATTGGATTAGTGGATGCCAGGGACTAGGCAGAAAGAAACTGGTAAGTGACTACAAGGTTTCTTTTTAGGGTAATAAAAATGTTTTGAAATTGGATATAACTGATGATTGCAGAACTCTAGGTCTTTAAAAAAAAAAAATCACTGACTTGTACATTTGTTAACAGGTGAATTTTATGGCTTCTGAATTATATCTCATTTTCAAATTTTTCCAACTAAGTGTATTCAAAATCTGTGAGGCCAAATTTTATTTATATATATTTCAATCAAAAGAGCTTATTATAAGAAATTAAATATAGAAGCAAATGGGAGAATCCAGTTGTCACTGTCTTCTTTGTCCAATAATGGGGATTGAACCCAGGGTTATTGTACCACTGAGCCACAGCCCTTTATATTTTTTATCTTGATACATTCTTGCTAAACTGCTGAGGCCTGCCTCAAACTTGCAATCCCCCAGCCTCATTCCACTCAGTTACTGGGAATACAGGCAAGAACCACCATACCCAACTCAGCTAAGCAAAACAGTAAAGAGATTTCCAAAAATGCAAAGCAAGAAATTTTCATAATAAATATTTTGTTTAGGAAAATTGTCACTTTTCATTTAAAAAAACTGTTTATGTTAATAAGCAATAGGCTTATTTTACAGTGAATTTTAAATTTTTTAAATATTTTTCTCCGTTTTAATTTCTAATTCAGAAAATAACAACAGATATAGCACATATAAAGAAAAACTCTGGGATTCCCAATAAATTTAAGAGTATAAATCCTTATACTCCTAAATGAGAGAAAACAGTTAAAACTATTCATAATATCATCATACTGTGCCAAGGATTCCATAGTAATATACATCTTAACACAAAAAAAAGCAATTAACAAAAGTAATTAATGAAAATTGCTAGGGAGATATAGATAGGTACACATTTTATTACAACTCTTACTTGGAAGTTTCAGGCAAACCAGCTGAGAGTTCCAAAAACACAGATAAGTAGTATCCACGGACAACTCCATTTCCATCCTAAAAAACAAGAAGGTTAACTTAGAATTATGCAGAGGAGAGTGAGGGGAAGGAAGTGGGTGTGGAGATGTGATGGAATGAGACAGACATTATTACCCTATATACTTGTATGATTATACTACTGGTGTGACTCTGGCACCATGTTCAGCCACGGGAAGGAGAAGTTGTGCTCCATTTGTGCACAATGTGTCAAAATGCATTCTACTGTCATGTACAACTAACAAGAAAAAATTTAAAAAATAAAATTTAAAAAAGAATAAAGTTCTTAAAAAAACAAGGCTATGCAAATAGAAACTGTTCAACAATTTTAAAAAAATTAAACCACAAGCTGAAGGCAAAAAACAAACACCAAAAAAACGAAAAATTTATGGCACAGTAAGATCAACAAAATGCAGATTGGTATCTTACATCTGAATTGTGAAATGTTTTTTACCTTAAAAGCAATAAAATAAATTATAAAACACCAACAGGTCTGAGTCCATAACAGTTTTAAACTTCCGTACATTAAAAGTGAAAATATCAAGGCATACAACTTAAGGATTAACAAGTCTGAAAAGTGTTAACAGGTTTAACATACACAGAACTCTTCACAAAAACCAGCCTAAAAAAATAAAAATTCATGGGCCAATTTAAGAAAACATATGGGTCAAATCCTGAATTCACCATCAGCAAATGTTTTTATAGTTTTCTGTTTTAATATTTTAAAGCATTTTTAAAAGAAGAATTTTAAATATTTCTTCTAAGCATAATTCTTTTACAAACCAGAAATAAAATTTAATCATGTCTCAGGATTTGTTATATCCACACTTAACTCATTTTTCCACAGATTTAGTAATGTATCCCACAAAGAAACAAAATCATCATTACTTTAATTTCCTTACTCCATTAAAACATTAAACAAATACACCATGGAAGAATAAATGATCTTTGGTTTCAAAATTAGAAATATAAAAAACTTACTGGGTAAACTTTTAATCTCCAACAGAGTCCTGAAACTTGAAGAGGTGGACTGTAAACAGGATCTGCTCTCTGGCGCAAAGTGCTTAAGAAAAAAAACAACCAAATCCCAAGATCAAAACTGTAAAAATGGCAATAAGTTTAAAAACCAACTACTTTCTTCGAGTTACTTATATGAAATCCTGAACAACTCATAGACAGCAACTGAATAAGTCAAGATTTCACTGTTAACTTTAGATATTATCTACATTCTGAAATAAGAGAAAATTTAATAGTGAAATATTCAGCAATATCTATAAAGTTCAGTAAAAACGAAACTGTGACATTTAAGGGAAAAGGAAAGTATCATTAAGTTTCCTAAAATTAATTCTGCTCCAATAAGCAGTCTTTCATCATCCCTCCACTCCACCTCTCCCAATAAGCAGTCTTTCATCATCCCTCCACTCCACTCCCCAAAAAGGCTGGAGGCATGGCTCATGGTAGATCATCATATGCTTAGCATGTGCAAAGCCCTGGGTTCAATCCCAGCACTGAACAAAAAACAAGAAAAGCAAATATTTATTTCCCACTTCTGTGTAGTATGATTATCCTTTTTTAATATGGAAAAACAAGAGAATAACCTCCTAAACCTTAATGTATATGGGGAAAACCTCTTAGAGACTATGCTTTAGCCACAAAATTATCCCATAAGAAAAAATACATTAGATGGGGGAAATCTTTTTTTTTTTTTTTGGAAGGGGTACTGGGTATATTTAACCCAGTGTGTTTTACCAAATCAGCTCTATTCTCAATCCTTTTTATTTTTCATTTTGAGGCAGGGTCTCACTAAGTTGCTCAGGGCCTTGCTACATTACACAGGCTAGCCTCAAACTTGCAATCCTCCTGCCTCAGCCTCCCAAGTCACTGGGAATACATGCATACACCACTGCACCCAGCAGTATAACCTTATTTTGATGTTATTGCCTACTCCAAGTTCTTTTCCCAAAAGATTTTTAGTTCCCAGTTTCATGTTGCCCTTGAAGACAAGTCCCTAAGGATCTTAGTGATTTTGAATCTTTGCTTCTAAACTAAAAACAGCAAAGGCTAATAAAATTAACATGCAACTTACGAAGCCTGTAAGTTTCTTATAATAGCCTCTTATAGGCAATTTCTCACTTTGAGCTGAAACAAATGGACCCCAACACTTTTGTTTCGTAGGATGGGTAGGTGGGGGATCACTGACTTCTATATTTCTGGCCCCGCACTTTAGCAAAAGCAAAGTAGACTCTCTTCTTTAAAATGTTTATCAGTCTTGGTAGAACATAGACAATCTGAGAATTTAAAATTCAAAACATTCCAAAATCTGAAACCTTTGAGCTCCAACATGAATCTACAGTGGAAAATGCCACACCTCACCTCATCTGATGTGTTGCAGACAAATCACAAGGCACTAACAATACCATATAAAATTACCTGCATGCTACAAATATAATGTGTGTATATAAAACAAATGAATTTCATGTTTAGACTTACGTTCTGCATCATTAAATATATGCAAATATTCCAAAATCTGAAATTTGAAACACTTCCAGTCCTAGCATTTCAGATATTGTACAATTGAGACCACCATCTATGTTTCTAATAGGAAACTTATTTCTTCTAAGATTATTAATCTGAGTGACACAGATCACCAATCTCTATCCTACTGAAGAATCACATTTTTTCACTTTTCCTTATGTATACATACAAAAAACCCCACAAAGTTGTCAAAAACCCTTACCTGAAATTCTCTAAAACAAAAGTGGCTGAATCATAAGATGGCACTAATTCACTAAAAAGAAGCAAAAAAAAAAAAAAAAAAATTATTTAGCTTAATATGCAACTTTAAAATTTCATTTAGTTTAAAAACAAAAAGTCCCTCAATAATACCTTTAAAACTTTATTAAACTAGTCCCTATGAGATATTTCCAAATCCTTGTTAAATATAATATTAAATGAATTCCTAAAACTACCAAGTTTTTAAATTTTACAAAGAGACTAAAAAAAGTATACTCAAGAAAATAGGTAAAAGAAAGAAATTGGTGCTTAGGCTACAAATTTGAATTATAAAACAAATATAAGCAGGCTTTAGAAATGAAAAGAAATAGCAAAGTTAAAAATATCACAATTTATCCAAAGAATTCCTTCAAAACAACTTTGTAGAAATATTAATAGACTTTAAATATACTTTGAGACTATTTACTAGTAAATAAACCTACATAATACATAATCACTTAGGAGATAAATGGGATGGACTAGCATAATAAGACTTTCTTGGCAATGCAAATTTACCTAAAACAACTTTAGTTCCATAGTATCTCCTCCAAAGAGAACTTAACTATAACTATAGCAGATGGGATATGAGATAATCCATTTTGCTGGTAACTACCCTTAGATCATGTGGATGGCTTGTGGTACTCTCATTAGAACACCTCTAAAGTCATTAAAGCACCATTTATTATAAAAATCTTATCATATACAGTGTTTTAATACACACTATAAATTTGATAAAAAGTTTAACAAAACAACAAACTGAAAGCCATTTCCAATATCTTCAGATACATTTTCTAAAGCCAATTCATCAAAAATTTGACCAAAACAAGAGAGGGACACATCAATAACATTGTCACACTATGATAGTGCCTAAAGAAATTAGTGATTTTCCCTATGAAAATACAGTATTGATAAAAAATAAATTATTCTTTATTCAGCTAAATAGGTCACATCTTTTTCACAGTAAGGAGATGGACTTTGACCTGCAATTGTTAACTATAAAACTACTATCCAAATTGACTATGTGAAGCACTCATATCCCTGGTCAATTGTTATCTGATTCATATTCTTCACCCCTAGATCTTTAATCCCCTTCATGTAAGTGATTTAGAAGTCAGATATTCGTGGAAGTCAGCCCTAAGGTCTCCCCATTATATGCTTTCTAGCAGAAATAATGCCCTTAGTGCCTAAGAAGTTTTAATGGAACCACAAATCTAATCAGAGGTCTAAAGGAATCTTCCCAATAAAGTCCTCAAATTTGTTCACAAAGTGGTATATTTTGGGCTATAATCTTATGTAATTTACAGTATTGGTCAGTTTGCCTATATTTAGATCATCCTCATAGTATCTAAAGATTTCAACCAATCCCCAGCTGCCTGATGAGCTATGTAGTGTTTCTCCAATCATGCCCTCAACATCCAGTGTAATATCGTTCCTTTGTTGTTATTACCTTAAATCCAGACTATCATTGTCACACACACAACCTCCATTATCCCACTGTGGTGAGGATCAAACCCAGAATCTGACACATAAAAGGCAAGGGCTCTACCACTGAGCCACATCCCCAGCCCTCATCAGCCACTAAGGGTTAAAAGAGTTTATCAGAATATAAACAGCAGAAGATGACCCAGTCAACTGAAAATGATCTAAGAAAAAGTTTACAGGATGAAGACTACAGTTGCCAAAACTCACTAACCAAGATATTACAGTGTAGTCTAGCTCTCACCAGATGAGGAAAAAATGATCACACTCAGAGCACAGAAAATAGATCTGTCAATCCAATATATTGCGATATACTTCTACACATGTACCTTTCAGGAAAAATGCAGACACAAACAGCACTATATCAAATCAGTGCAATGAGAAAGCATAAAACAGGATGCATACACTTCCTCTATTACCCGTCATCACATTTTATGACTGCTTCAGTCATCTCTCACTAAACCCTAACTCATCAATCACAAGGGCTCTTCTACTGCATTTTCTGCTAACACAAGCTTGGAACATGGCTAACATTTAAATAAATATTCACTGAATGAATATTTATAAATATTTGCTGTCAGATCATGAAGAGAAACATTTGCTCAAAAATTTATTTTGCACTCTTTACCTATATACTCAAAGCCATAAACACAGCTAAATGGTCTATTCCACCTTTAACTATTTATTAACAACTCCAAATTGTGATTATTCAGGTTATCTTTAATCTTATTATTACCATTCTCAGTCTACACATAATGCACTGCTATATCTTCTCATAATTTTATACCTTCTCCCACAAACATAGACTATTCTTTATGAATGGATTCATCTCATGATGATGTTAATCTTCATCTTCACAGAATATGGGGAAGTAGCCTCAAATCCATTCTATGCTTTTTATATGATTTCCATATGCTTTCTAGCAGAAATAATGCAATTAGTGCCTAAGAAGCTTTAATGGAACGATAAATCTAATCAGTAATTTGCAAGCCAATGAGTTGTGCATCTTTAGAAATATGACCTCCTCCTAACTTAGTGAATAAAGGATGGAAAGAGAAGACAAGTATCCACTTCATTCCCTTAAGGAAATAGATCAAGCTGCATAAAAATTGGTTCTCCCTCCCAACTTGACTATTCTCCCAGAAACTTATAATCTCTATGGACTCAGAGCTATACTATTCACTCTTCTCAGTTCTCCTTAGGGACACCTAAACAGTTCTATTTCTCATTATGCCTCAACAATAAATAACCTTTCAAATTCTAGCTAAGATTATTCCCTGTTGTCCCCCGAATATAACAGCTTTTATCATATCCATATTTTGTATGTATGCATACCCATTCTCATCTTTCCAACAAAATCCTACATATCTTTCAACACCTTTCCCAATTCTTTTCCAGATTATACTTTTCTTGACCATTCCAGTCTTTACCCTGACTTCTTTTCAGAACTGATATAAAATGGTATATAAATGAGTACAAATATTTGATTTTAAAAAACAATTCTTTACTTAATGTGGAATATCTGACTGATATTTTTAGTTCCTCTTTAACACCTACAATAGTGCTAGCACCTTTTCATCTCCATAGTAGCTTCAACACCAAACATTAACTAACAGAACTAAAGACAATCCAGTCTCAATCTCAAAGCTTAAAACATTACTGCTTCGCACTTCTAAACTTTGATTTGTAACTTAACATCAATAAATGCCAGTCTTTTTTATTTGGCCATCTCTTCTTTGCTGATCAAGTTATCAACAGATCACCTCTGTTTCCTGTATATTGCAATAGTAAACTAAGTCTCCAATAAAAATTAGAGTTAAGCTAAAAGCCAAAATTTCCAAAAAGGTGGTGGGCATTACTAGACAGGAAGCCACTTAATTATCACACTGGAAAGCACTATTGCTTGCCTGATAAGCTGTTGAAAGTGGTAACAGGAGAGAAATTTACCTGAATCAGCGGTTCTCCAACTATACTATGATATTAATATTGCTTAGGGTGCTCAAGAAGCATTTTCTAAGGGCTGGGGATGTTGCTTAGTGGTACAGCACTTGTTCAGCACGCATGCATTGAGGCCCTGGTTTGATCCCTAGCACCATAGAAAGAAAAAAAAAGAAAGACAGAAAGGAAGGGAGGGAGAGAGGGAGAAAGAAAGGGAGGAAGGGAGGAAAGAAAAGGGAATAGGAAGAGAGGGGAAACTAAGAGGAAAAGCAGCAGCAGAATTTTCCCAAACAATCTAAATGTTAAATGTTAAAAGCTATGTTTTCTTCCACTGGTCATAGACTGGAAAACAGTACCTTTGAAACTGAAATGTGACCACACAGTTAAATAGAGGAAGCACTGGGACATTGGTGAATATTCTTTCTTATATATATATAAAAATATATAATATAAATATATATAAATAAATATATATATAAATAAATATATATAAAATATATATATATATATTTTTTTTTTCTAGTTGTAGCTGGACACAATATCTTTACTTATTTTTATGTGGTGCTGAGGATCGAACCCAGTGCCTCACATGTGCGAGGCACACGTTCTACCACTGAGCTACAGCCCAAGCCCTGGTGAATATTCTTAAATCACCCAAACCTATTTAATGACAGCAAATACCCAACACTTTTAAAATTTTTCAGTGCTTTGATGTTATTTTATCAGGTATTTCGTTTGTCCGTTGGTGGTACTAGGGACTGAACCCAGGGTAATTACTGCTAAGCTATATCCCCAGCCCTTTTCATATTTTGAGACAGGATCTCACTAAAGTGCTGAAGCTGAACTCAGACTTGTGATCCTCTTGCCTCAGGCTCCTGAATATCTGGGGTTTCAGGAGAATGCCACCATGCCTGGTTTTATCAGGTTTGTTAATCAGAAACAAAGACTTCCCTTGCATATCAGTAAGTTTGCCTTTCTGTTTATAGGACTATGGGACCCTCACTCATGATCCTTAAAAATCCATCTAGGATAAGGAACAAGTGCATTTACCAGTAATTCCCAGCCAGGGGTGATTTTGCCTTCAGAGAATATCTGGCAATGTCTGGAAACATTTTGTTACAACTGCAAGGTGATAATGTTGGAGTGCTACTGGCAAGAGGGTGCTACATCCTACAACACACAGGAAACTCCCTCCATAACACAAAATATCCAACTCAAAATGTCAAAAACGCCAAAGTAGAAAAACCCTGGCTTACACCATATACTCCAGTGCAATGTATGCCTTATGGCCATTAGATAGCATTGTGTTGTAGAGAAAAGGAAAGTGAGTTCAAAAAAAATTTAAATTTTTTTTATAACAAGAGTTGTTTTCTAAATGAACCATAACTCTCCTCAACACGTAAGAAAAACATGATAGTTTTTTCATAAGCCGCCTTTAAAGTATAAGATAAAATGTGTCATACCAAAATAGTAATCTGAAACATTGGCCCTCATTTTATGAATAAGCTAAGATTTAAAAAGAACAAACTGTGTCAATCTGTACCTAAAGTTAATGAACTGAATTGTCACCCCAAATTCCTACATGGAATCCCTAAACCCCCATGTGACTTGGAATTAGGGCCTAAGGAAGTAATTAAGGCTAAATGAGGTAAAAGTGGGGCCCTAATCCAATAAGGCTGTTGTCCACATAAGGAGAATAAACACCAGAGACTGATCTCTCCTTGCGTGAACAGAGAAAAAGTCACGTGAAGACAGTGAACGCAAATGCCTACCACTTCAGAAGCTTCACCAGACACTGAATTTTCTGATACTTTTTCTTGACTCCAAAACTGTGAGGAAGTAAATTGTTTTGTTTAAGCCACCCTGAAAGTTTGTCAAGACTTTATAGCCAACTAATAAATACACAGAAAATTCGTTTCAAATGAACTGGGGTATGGTCTAGCACTGACACTTTTCAACAGAATCTCAAGCATTAGTGTTAAGAAAAATAGTGTATTTTCTACATATGATAAAAAAATATGCTTTAAAAAAAGTTTAAAGATGAACACTAGAAACATACGCAGGTTGCAATTGCTGCAATAGTTTCCTCCCACTATCTTTGAAGATCCAGGTCATATTGGACATTTTATCCACTTCTCAATTCTGTTTAACAAGATACAAATTAAGTCAAAAGGTAAATAAAAGATTCAAGAAAAAAGTTTTTAATTTACTCTCTTTTTTTTTTGTTTCTTTTAGTCTATTGTCTTTTATTTTTTGTATTGGGGACAGAACACAGGGGCACATTATATTGAGCTATATCCCCCGTCCCTTATATATTTTTTTAAAATTCTGACCAAGTGGTTTAGTGCCTCACTAAATTGCTGAGGCTGGCTTCAAATTTGTGACTCTCCTACCTCAGGCTCCCAAGCTGCTGGGATTACTGGTGGGTACCACCTATTGAGTTGAGACCAGATTTACATGCGTAACAGAGATCACATTATAAAAAGCATCTTATAAAGCTATATATACTTAAGAAGATTTATTCTTTAGAAACAAGTGTATATCTTTTGCACACAAACATCAAATGAAAATGAAATCTAAAAACTGTCATACCTGGTAAAGTCTGGTGGAACAGGAGTGGTAACAAAGGATGCCATGGGTTTTCGATGAACTTGCTGAAACATCATTAGGATCTCAGAGCTCTTAGATATTAACTCACTCTTACTACAAGACCGCAACTGTGTGAGGAAAAGAATTATCTAAACCAACAAAATCACTATTCAATGGCACCTCGAAAATTTTAGTAAAGAACTAGAAATTAATCCAGTTATATAGCCCCCCCAAAAAAGAGAGAAAAATAAAAATAAATCAATGTGGGTTTGAGAATTCTCAATCTTCAAAGGATCTAAGTTTTTATTCTAATATAAAGTGGTTGAATCAAGATTTGAATCCATTTTTCACCCCTCATATTTTAGGATAAGCATATATTGAACAACTACAAATATATTTCCACACTGGTATAGTGATGCTATTATTTGTATTAACAAACAAATCCTATGGGTGGAAAGCCTACAAAAAGCAAGCATTTTTTCAATGGCATTTTAGGTAATAGAAATTTTAAGATATAAAACAAAAACACACACACACACACACACACACACACACCCCTTACTTAATCTATATCAATTCCAGAAATACTACTACATTTCAAAGGTAGGAAGTTAGGAATCTGGGACTGGGGTTGTGGCTCAGTGATACAGCACTTGCCTAGCATGTGGGTTTGATTCTCAGCACTGCATATAAATAAAAATAAAGGTCCCTCAATAACTAAAAAGTATATATATATATAAAATATTTAAAAAGTGAGAAACCTAACTTTAGTAAAAATAAGCATAGTAGTTAAAAGACCACTAATTTTTGTATTCAACAAAGAGTTTGGAGTTCTAATTCTGCCAATGAGTACTTACATGACTAAGTCTATTTACACATAAAGTTGAAATAATATTTACCACTGCTTCTTTCATTCAGTTTGTTGTAAAGATCACAAAGTTTTATGTGAAAACAGTTTCATAACCTATTAAGGAATTAACTGTCTCTCTCCCAATCACCCAATTTATGTTACAGGCATAACAGCCTCCAGAACTATGAGAAAATAAATTTCAGTTGTTTAAGCCTCCCAGGCAGGCAGTATTATTTTATTATTATTTTAGCTGTATATTATAGTTTGGGTTGTTAGTTTTTTGTTGTTGTTGTTGTTTGCAGTGCTGGGATTTGAACCCATGGCCTCACAGCAAGTGTTATACTGCTGAGCTACATCCATACCCCAGAGTTGTATTTCTTTATAAATCCTGTATACCAATTCAGTTTCCGGAATGACAAATAACTTTTCCCAATCTGTAGCTCATCAACCTATTTTTTAAAGATTATTTTGTTCAAAATAAGTTTTAATTTTAACATAGCTAAGTCTTTCTCCTTATATTTTGTGCCTATTGTGGCTTAAGAGGTCTTTCCTTTCCCTATATCAGATATTCTCCTCTTAAAATAACAGGAAAAATCAAATTTCACTCTTCAAATTTAGGTCTTTAATCCATCTGGCACTGATTCTTATCAGAGTTAAGATGAAGATCTAATTTTATTTGCCCAATGTATAACTGTCAATATTTGTTGAACATCCTTCTGCATCTTTGTCATATATCTATCTTTTGGTTTGGGGGTTGTTTTGGTTTTGGTACTAAGGTTTGAATCAAGGAGTATTTTACCACTGAACTACATTCCCCAGTCCTTTTTGAGACAGTGTCATGCTAAGTTGAGGCTCTCCTAGAACTTGCAATGCTCCCATCTTAGCCTTCCAAATTACTGGGATCATAGGCATGCCATCATACCCAGTTAGTAAAACAGACTATTAAGCATGCTTATGTTATATGCCATTAAGAAAATCTTTAATTCTGACACATCTCATTTCACAAATAAAAAATGTACATCTGAGAATGAGACTCAGTATTTTTCTTCATTCAGCTGTTTTGTTACCTTATAATTGTCTCTACAAAGATCTTAAATATCTGTCAGATTTATGCACAGATCCTTTAGTAGTATTTCTTGATATTATGAATAAAATCTTTTTCAAGTAAGTTTTCTAACTAGTTATTCCTGATGTAGGAACACGACTGATTTTTATGTGCAACAAAGCTCACTAAAGAGGGTCTAAGAGTTAATATATTGTCTACATAGATAATCATACTTTTGGCATATGAAGAGCATTATCTTTTCCTTTCCATATATATATATATATATATATATATATATATATATATTTACTTTAACCACTGAGATACATCTATAGCTGTTTTTATATTTTGAAACAGGGTCTCAATAAGTTGATTAGGTCCTGCTAAGTTGCTGAGGCTGACTTCGAACTTGCAATCCTCCTGCCTGGGGCCTCCCAAGCTACTGAGATTACAGGCAGGTGCCAGCTCCTGTCTATATTTATATTGCACTTTTCTCAATTCAATAAATAGGACTTCTGGTAAGAAGTATTGCCAATAGGCAATCCTGGATTACTTTTAAAAAATTTTAACAGATGACATAAAATCACAAAAAAAATGAATGTAAAAGTGATATGTCAAGTTTCAATATGTCTATAAATTGTGTTATATTTAAATCAGTTTAAACACATATACCACCTCAAACACTTATCTTTTTGTTTAAGACTTTGAAAATCTCTTCTTTTAAACTTTTTGAAGTAAACAGTATAGGAATGCTATAGTCACCCTAGTATTCTTTTATCAAACTATAACTTAGTACCCACTGATCAAACTTTCCCCAACAGATAATTAAAAATCTGGGAAATACTTTCTATTAATCTGGATTTGATGTATTTTGGAAGAGACTTATCAACAATTTACTTAATACTTATTGGCTTAAATTATATTAAGTCACTTTCATTAATTACAAGTTTCTGGAAAATTATCCTCTTCTTGTGGATTCTACTTATATGAAGTAGCTCATAATGTGCAAAGCACATAGAACAGAGCCTGGTATAAAGTAAGTACTTTATATAACTACTTAAAAGATATTTTTATTCTTCAAATTTCTTTTACCTTTGCAATTTTATCCCAGTTTTCCCTCCCACTATACTGTAAGATGATTTATTTTTCTTGGTCAAACCTGATTAAAGTTTCACTTAACTCATTTCTTTCCCAAGATTCAATTATATTGTTCGTCTCAACTACTTTGTGGCATTTTGTGTTAATTTCGTCTATCTTCACCATTTCTTCCCATTTTATGCTTCTATATTCTTATTGCTTTCCTGGATTCTTTAGTTGAGAACAATTCGTTTATTTATAATTTATTAAAATAATTAGTTGGGTGCAGTGGCACAAACCTGTAATCCCGGGGAAGAGGGGTGGGGGTTGGTGCCTGAGGCAGGAGGATCACAAGTTCAAAGCCAGCCTCAACAAAAGCAAGGTGCTGCTAAGCAAACTCAGTGAGACCCTGTCTCTAAATAAAATACAAAACAGGCCTGGGGATGTGGCTCAGTGGTTGAGTGCCCCTGAGTTCAATCCCTGGTACCCAAAAATAAATAAATAAATGTTTTTCGGAATTAATTTTCTTCTACATATCCCTTACATACGGCTGGCATGTTAATAATTTTATATTTTCAACAGTGATTTATCTCATAACAATTGAGTTATATTTGAACATTTTAAAGAATATTTTAGATTTTTAAAGTATTATGCCTATTTTAATTATAATCTAGTTTTAGAAAATGTTTTTTATATTAACTTCTGAAAATTCCTCACATTTCTATGTACCTTACTACATGATCAGTTGGTGAATTTGTTCGATGTGGCTTGAAAAGTATATATATTCTCGGGGATAGAGAAGAGGCTCAATGGAAGAGTGCTTGTCTAGCACATGTGACACCTTGCCTTGGGTTCAATTTCTAGAATCAGCCAAAAAATATACATGTATGTGTATAAATATATATATATACACGCACGCACACACACAAATACATTTTTCATTTTAGGATTCAGTATTCCATAAGTATATTTTAGATCACACATCTTAATTTTCTTTTTTAAATATTAGTTGAGGGACTGGAGGTATAGCTGAGTGGTGCCTGGTGAGGCCTGGGTTCAATCCACAGCACCACCTCCCAGTGAGGTGGGAGGGTGAAGCAGGAGGATTACAAATTCAAAGCCAGCCTCCTCAGCTTATCAATTAATTTAATTAATAAAATTATTTATTTAATTGATCATTAAATTAATTAAATAAAATAAATATTAGTTGGGGCTATCAGTTTATATTTTTAAATCACTATGATAGTGATTTTACCAAAATTTTATATCAGGATCTGCGTTATATATTCTGTTTATAAGAATACAAAATAATAGCCCATGTTAGGCACTGGGTTCAGTCCTCAGCACCACATAAAAATAAACAAAATAAAGGCATGTTGTCGGGCTGGGGATGTGGCTCAAGCGGTAGCGCGCTCGCCTGGCATGCATGCGGCCCGGGTTCGATCCTCAGCACCACATACAAAGATATTGTGTCCGCCGAAAACTGAAAAATAAATATTAAAAAAATTCTCTCTCTCTCTCTCAAAAATAAATAAATAAATAAAGGCATGTTGTCCATCTACAACTACAAAAAAATAAATATATTTAAAAAGAAAAAAACAGGGAAAAAAGATCAAAAACATAAGATGGGCGCTGGGGCTGTAGCTCAGTGGTAGAGCACTTGCCTAGCATGTGTGAGGCACTGGGTTTGATTCTGAGCACAGCATATAAATAAAGGTCCATCGACAACTTAAATAAACATTTTTTTAATGTGTGTGTGTATAAATTTAAGATGGGACAAATAGAAAACTAATAGCAAGACTAAAACTTCATCATATCGATAAGCATACTAAATGTAAATGTCCTAAACATCCCAATCAAAAATTAAAGATTATCAGTGGGGAGAGGTGGCATATGCCTGCAATCCTAGCAGTTCAGGAGGCTGAGACAGAAGTATTGTTCAAAGCCAGCCTCAGCAAAAGTGAGAGGGATAAGCAACTCAGCGAGACCCTGTCTCTAAATAAAATACAAAATAGGGCTGGGAGTGTGGCTCAGTGGTCCAGTGCCCCTGACTTCAATCCCCAGTACCTTATAATGAGGCATAATAATTCCAGATAGTTATTAATCAAAACCTGATAAAGCTAACAAAATAGACAAATCAAAAGTTACAGTCTAAGATTTTAATATCTCCTCCCAATATTTAATAATACAAATACAAATTGAATATTCCTTAGCCAAAATGCTTGGGTCAAGAAGTATGTCAGAATTTAGATTTTTTTTTTCAGATACTGAAATACCTGCATAAACATAAGGACCCACCTTAGAAATAGGACCCAAGTCTAAATACAAAATTTACCTTTCATAAGCACCTTATTCTCATGGCCTAAAGTAATTTTATAAACTATTCTTAGTGCACACATTTTTGACTACAATTTGTTACATGAGATTGGGCGTGGAATTTTCCATTTTGTGGCATCATATTTGAATTGAAAAACTATCAGATTTTTGTAACACTTTAGAATTTGGATTTTCAGATTAGGGATGTTCAACCTGTACATAGAAAGTCTGAAAGAATATAGTAATAATGATCATTAGTCTACTTGACCTCATTACCACCAATAAAACATTCCACCCCAAAATGGCAAATACAGTTTTCAACTGTGCACAGAACATTTTCTAGGATGTACTGTATTTTGAGAATAAAACATGCTAAAATTCAAAGAGTAAGTTAAAAATAGATTTCAGTTATACACAATAAAATTAAATTAGAAATCAACTAAAGAATATTTTCTAAATCACCAAATATCTAGAAACTAAACAAACTTATAAAGAGCCCATGGATCAAAGAAGACTTCATAGGCCTAAAAGAAAATATTTGAATAGAAAGGTCTTAAATCAATAACCTCAGCTTCCATCTTAAAATATTAGGGAAAAAAGGAATTAATTAAACTAAAACTAAGCAGAAGAAATAATTAGATCAAAATCAAAATCCATGTAATAGGAAAAAAAAGAAATTAAAATCAAAACCTAGTTTCTGGAGAACATCAGTAAAACCCCATAAACTTCTAGCCAGAACAATCGGGGAAAAAATAAGAAAGACACAAATTAAGAAACAGGTGACATCTTTAAGAGTCTAAAACTGCTAAAAGGATAACAAGAAATTATTATAAACTTCATGCCAATAAATTCAAATGAAACAGAATAGATCCTTGAAAGTCACATAAACTACCAAAGCTCACTCAAGAGAAAATAGTAAATGTGAATTTACTGCCCTATAACTATTCAAGATATTGAATTTGAAGACAGGCATGGTGATGCATGATAATAACGCCAGCTAACTGGGAGGGTGGGACAAGATATCTTGAGTTTGAAGCCAGTCTTGGCAACTTAGCAAAACCCCATCTCAAAAACAAAACAAAAAGGGTCTGGGGTTGTAGCTCAGTGGAAAAGCGCTTGCCTCGCACATGTGAGGCACTGGGTTCAATCCTCAGCACCACATAAAAATAAATAAAATAAAGGTATTGTGTCCAATTACAACTAAACACTCAAAAGGCACTACTAAGCCTAAATATAAAACCTATGATGATAACAAATTTTCCAAGAGAAAACCTTTGGCCCTGAGCTAAAGATTTCCTAAATATGACAATATGACATCAAGAGCATATTAATTGATAAATTAGACTTCATTAAAATGTAAAATTTCAGGGCTAGGGTTGCAGCTCAGTGGTACAGTGCTTGCCTAGCACGTGTGAGGCACTGGGTTTGATCCTCAGCACCACATAAAAATAAATTAAAGAAAGGTATTTAAAAAGAAATGTAAAATTTCAGAGCAGGAGTTTTATCTCAATGGTAGTGCACTTGCCTACTACATGTGAGGCAATGGCTCAATCCTCAGCCCCACATAAAAACATATAAATAAAATAAAGATATTGTGTCCATTTACAACTAAAAAAAGAAAAAAAAGTACAATTTCAGCTCTTCACAAGACACTTAAGAAATGAAATATAGAGATGAAGAAAATCTTTGCAAAGCATTTATCTGATACGGGGCATATATCTAGTACTTTATGTGAATTATTCTGAAAACAAAATCAAAAAAACAAGACAATAAAATGATGGACAAAAGATCTGAACAGACATCTCAACAAAAAAGATACACAGATAGTAACTTAGTTAAAAAGGGAGCTTATGATCATTAGTCATGAGGCAAATAAACCACAAAATTAAACAAATTAAACCACAATTAGACACTCCCAGGACATCAGTTAAAAAATAAACTATATCATGTGTTGGCAGTATTGTGGAGAAACTGGTACTCTCATATAATATTGTTAGAAATATAAAATAGGGGCTGGGGATGTGGCTCAAGCAGTAGCGCGCTCGCCTGGCATGCGTGCAGCCCGGGTTCGATCCTCAGCACCACATACAAACAAAGATGTTGTGTCTACCGAAAACTAAAAAATAAATATTAAGAAAAAAAAGAAAAAGAAATATAAAATGGTACAATTCAGAAAACTGTTGGCAATTATTTTTAAAATTAATGATTTATCAACCATTTGATGGAGCCATAAGCATACCCAACAGGGAAAAAAAAAACAACAAAAAAAAACACTTTCATGTAAAGACTTGGACATGTATATTTATAGAAGCTTTGTCTGTTATAGCCAAAAACTGGATTTCAGGGTTTACAGTTACGTCAAATGACCATTAGGAATTAAATGGAAAAATAAACATACAATACTACTCAGCACTAAAATAATTATTGATGCACACAGCAAATAATTTTGCTGAGGGCTGTGGCTGTGGCTGTGGCTCAAAGACAGCGCACTTGCCTGGCATGTGTGAGGTACTGGGTTTGATTCTCAGGACCACATATAAATAAATAAAATAAAGGTCTATCAACAACTAAAAAAAAATTTAAAAATACTAATTTTGTTGAATGAAGTTACACATAAAATGAGTACATAAAGTGTAATTCCATTTATATAACTCAATAATAAGCAAATTTATCAACAACAACAACAAAAAATCGATACTTGATTAGAGAGAGAAACGTGATCAAGGACAGTATAAGCTTCTTTAACAAATGGTGCTGGGAAAACTGGAAATCCATACATAACCAAAGGAAACTAAACCCCTATCTCTCACCCCACATAGAACAACCTTAAGTAGATCAAGGACCTAGGCATTAGATCAGAGACCCTGAAACTAACAGAAGAAATGTAGGCCCAAATCTCCATCATGTCAGCTTAGGAACCAAATTCCTCAACAAGACTCTGAAAGCACACGAAGTAAAATCAAGAATCAATAAATGGGGCAGTACCAAAACTAAAAAACTTCTTCACAGCAAAGGGAACAATCAAGAATGTGAAGAGGGAGCCTAGAGAACGGAAGAAAATCTTTGCCACCTGCACCTCAGAGTACTAATCTCCAGGATATATTAAAAAAAAAAAAAAAAAAAAAAAACCCTCAAAAAACCCCCAAACAACCCATTCAACAAATGGGCACAGGAACTGAACAAGTCACTTCACAGAAGAAGGAATACAATACATGAAAAAAATGTTCAACATCTCTACCAATTAGAGAAATGAAAATTAAGACTACACTGAGATTTCATTTCACTCAGTCAGAATGGCAAGTATCAAGAATACAAGTAACAGTGTTGGTGAGGATGTGGGGGGAAAGGTACACTCCTACATTGCTAGTGAGACTGCAAATTAGTCCAACAATTCTGGAAAGCTGTACGGAGATTCCTCAGAAAAGTTGGAATGAAACCATCATTTGACCCAGTTATCCCACTCCTGGGCCTATACTGAAAGGACTTAAAATCAGCATACTATGTGGCTCAGTGGTAGAATGCATGCTTAGCATGTGTGAGGCACTAGGTTTGATCCTCAGTACCACATAAAAATAAATAAATAAAATAAAGGTATTGTGTTCATCTACAACTAATAAAAATACTTAAAAAAAAAAAAAGAAGAAAACAACATACTATAGCAACATGGCCACATCATTGTTCATAGCAGCTCTATTCTCAACAGCTAAGCTACGGAACCAACCCAGGTGCCCTTCAACAGATCAATGAATAAAGAAAATGTGGTACATATACACAACAGAATATTACTCAGCCAAGAAGAATGAAATTCTGGCATTTGCTGGTAAATGGATGGAACCAGAGACAATCATAGTGAAATAAGCCAATCCCAAAAACCAAAGGCCGAATATGCTGACTCACAATGGCAGGAGGGTGTGGGGGGGTAGGTTCACCAGACTGGATGGTGGGGAATGAAGGGAAGGGAGGTGGGATGGGAATGGGAAAGACAATAAAATGGATCAGACATAACTTTCCCTCTCTCAAAAAAAAAAAAAGAACTTGTAATACGAGATATGGAAAGTTAGACACAGTGGAGCATACCTATAATCCCAGAGACTCAGGAGGCTGAAGCAAGAGGATCCAAAGTTCAAAGCCAGCCATCAGCAAGGCCCTAAGCAACTTAGCAAAACCCCAACTCAAAACAAAAAACAGAAAAGGGCTAGGGCATGTGGCTCAGTGGATAAACACCCTTAGGTTCAATCACTGGTACCAAAAAAAGGAAATATGGATTAAAATGGATAAAGACCATTACATTTAATATTTCATCACCTGGTGCTCTACCTCCTGAAGAAGGGATTCTAACAGCTCCGTTTCTTGGGTTAGAGATGTCTTCTGACCTGTTTAAATATAGCAAAACATCAATATTGAACTCATCACTGGTTTGAGAAAGAAATTAACTTCCAAAAGCATACTCAATAAAAACAAATCCATTTCAAGTACAGAAAAATTATTTATTACGGCTACTCTAAAGATTTTCCTAGAATTTAAAGGATTGAAATTAACATTATAGAATTAGAACTAATCTGAAGTACTTTTAGAAGAAATTCAATTTAGGGGTATGAAATTCATCTAACATACAATAAAAGCCTGGGATTCCACCTCCAACATTAAAAAAAAGAAGTACAATTACAATATAATTGAAGTAAAAATGTTAATTTCTCTAGATTTTTTTTTATCCTTTTGGTACTGGGGATTGAACCCAGGGCCTCACACATGCTAGGCAAGCACTATACAGCTAAGCTACTATATCCCCAGCTCTTTTTATTGTTTATTGTCTCATAGAGCCTCACCAAGTTGCAAGGCTGTCCCCAAACTTGGGATCCAGACAACAATCTACTTACACTGCTGAAGCTGACCTCAGCTATTGGATTCTCCTGCCTCAGCCATTGGAATCACTGGTATTACAGGTGTGTACCACCAATCCAGCTTGTTTTATTTATTTTTGGTGCTTTCAGAACATTTTTTATTTATTTATTTTGGTTGTAGATGGACAATACCTTTATTTTATTTATTTATTTTTATGTGGTGCTGAGGATTGAACCCACTGCCTCACACATGCTGGGCAGGTGCTCTACTACTGAGCCACAAACACAGCTCCATAAAGTAGTGTTATTTGATGAAAGGAGATAATACAGACCTTTTATTTTTCATTTTCTGAAGCCAAAATCACAAGTTTTTTATTTGTGGGAATTGAACCTGGGGCATTCTACCACTGAGCAACATCTTTTTTTTTTAAATTTTTTTTAGTTGTAGAAGGACACAATACCTTTATTTTGTTTATTTATTTTTTTATGTGGTGCTGAGGATTGAATCCAGTGCCTGACACATATTAGGTGAGCGCTCTACCACTGAGCCACAACGCCAGCCCCCACTGAGCAACATCTTAAGGCTTTTTTATTTTGAGATGGCACCTCGCTTAATTGCCCAGGGTGGCACTGACCTTACACTCTTGCTATCAAGTGTCCAGGAATATAGTCATGTGCCACCATGTCCAATGATTACAAGTTCTTGATTGCAAAAATATGGAAGTTAGATTATATTATCAGAGATAATGTCTACCATCACCATATCCTATAGTCCTAAAGCATTAGCACTTTGGGCAATACTACCACATATAATCAACTTAAAATTTAGTGGTAGAGACAGGTACAGTGGCACATGCCTGTAATCCCAGATACTTAGGAGGCTGGGGCAGGAGGATCCCAAAATCAAGGACAGCCTGGGCAACTTAGTAATAATTGTTTCAAAATAGAAACTTTTGCTAATTCATAAGAAATGCTTCTAGTCCTTCAGACTTTGTGTTTATGAAAAAAAAATGGTCTGAATGTACTAACAAAAAATGTTTTAAGAAAAAGTGAAAAGGTCAACTTTAAAATATATCCCCAAACTATATTTACAACTGGGTATTTACTTGACTGAGTATATAGCTCCAAGTTAGAATAATCCCGAGTTGAATCCCCAGTACTCTGGGGGGAAAATAATTAGTGGTAGAAATTGAGATATAAATCAAAGTGTGACGTTCCTCATAATACTAACCAACTACTAGTAAGATTATTGTAGAGCTATTCTAAGCCTAAAAGTATCCTATTTAATTATAAAAACAACCTTGGATATTTCAAATTGCAATAACTTTTCATAATGAAAAATCACTTGAAAACCACAAAAACAGGGGGCAGGTTAAATTTTTGGAAAAGGAAATCATTCCACTAAGTAAACTACACAGTTGCTACCAGGTGAAATCGTACACGCCTGTAATTCCAGCAACCGAAGGGAGGTTGAGGTAGGAAGATTTCAAGTACAAGCTGAACCTCAGCAATGTAGTAAGATCTTGTCTTCAAAAAACAGATTTGTACTAAAGACTTGTTTGATTTTAAGTTAATTCAATTAAACAAAGGAAGCAATGAGGCAAACTCATTCAACAAAAGCAAGGGCAAATCATGTATACTTAGCTGCAATTTAAAATCACATTATCACTGAAGAAAGCTTCAGTTTTAAAAGTGCTAGTACATACTAACATCCCAGCACTTTATATGGCTTAATAAAATTAAGAAAGTCTCAAACATCATTTTAAAGTCTGAAAATATAAGATCATTATACATACAATTAACTTTGACTAAGGGCCTAACAAAAATTATGATTTTCATTTACACTTCTTTTATCTAAACTAGTACCATTAAAAAAAAAAAATACTAGATGTCTATAGGTTTCTTCTAATTGCTCCAATGTGCGGGTAAGCTGTACTATTCAATCTAAAGTTATGATTCTTTAAGATCTGCCGTTGGGTCTTGAAAATCACTAAGATCAGTATAGATTTATAAGACTAAATATTTTTGTAATGCAAAGACAATTTGTGAAACAATACATGAATATCCAAACTCAAGGATATCTGCATCTTAATAAAAGATAGCAAATAAAAAAATTCTTTGTTCATACCTTACTAAAGTATATGTATTTCATGTTACACTATGATGAAAAATGCAAAGCTGATTTTGCATCAGTAAAATGTTAGATGGACTAAAATTACAGGTTAAGCTCAAAGACACTAAATCAAACCATGCCAAACAAACTAGCATTTTTTTTCCCTAAACTTTATGTTTAAAATTTTATGTTCAGGCTAGGGATGTGGCTCAAGCCGTAGCGCACTTGCCTGGCATGCATGAGGCCCGGGTTCAATCCTCAGTACCACATACAAACAAAGATGCTGTGTCTGCCGAAAACTAAAAAATATTAAAAAAAAATTCTCTCTCTCTCTCTCTCTCTCTCTCTCTCTCTCTCTCTCTCTTTAAAAAAAAAAATTATGTTCAATCCTAAGTTCCATAATCAATTTAGGAGGAGGGAATATTTGAAAAACCAAAAAGTTGAGCAATAAATATAATTAAATATGAATTAGACGTAAAATGAGACTAGAATTAAAAACCAAGATTAAGGGGAGGGGTTGTGGCTCAGTGGTAGAGCACTTACCTAGTATGCATGAGGCACTGAGTTTCACCCCTGGCACCACATAAAAATAAAATACATAAAAATAAAGGTACTGCGTTCATCTACAACTAAAAATAAATAAATACTTAAAAAAAAAAGAAAAGATTAAATCTCTAATAAAAAGCTGAGAGGACTATGCTGATAGTTACAAATGTCAGTTCTTCATCTTCAATGAAGATAGGATAAAGGAAATTTTTATTGGATTTAGAAAAGAGGAGGAAAAAAACAAAAGCTAACAATGAGGTCCCTGGCTAGGCTATTAAAACTCTTACCCAAATATCTATGAAAACTTTTCTCTCCACTGCTTTCTAAATACAAGTTGGACATATGGGCAGAATCTAACATGGAACTATCTAAAATCTCAAGAGTCCTTCCTAGACTGTACCAACTCACCAACCTTATTTTTCAAAGATTGAACCTCCAGGAGGCTCAAAGTACCATGTACTCTAGCAGCATAGAAAAACACTCCCCAAAACAAAGAAAAAAACACCTAACAAAAACCCACACTCACCCATCAATGTTATAAGCTTATTTTTCAGCTGAGTGTCTAATCGTGCAATCATCATCTCCACTGCATTCCTAATTTCCCGAACACGCTCATCTTTTGCATTTCTTACAGCTTCTACATTTCTTTCCTAGAAAAAAAAAACAGGTAAAATAATTTTAATTGGGGAACTTTAAAAATAGAAGCAAAGAGACCTCAGTGTAATCACTGAAATTAGTCCGTTGACTAGGGCTAGGGTGTAGCTCAGTGGTAGAAAACTGAGTGTGAGGCACTGGGTTCCATCCTCAGTACCACATTTAAAATAAATAATAAAATAAAAAATAAAGGTTAAATTCTTTAAAAAAAAAATTGACTACCTCTTTAAAACTTACAAAACATATAATACCACTCTTATATTGCTAGTATAACATAGGTAACTCATTGCTTTAAAAAATTCTGTATCTTCAACTAAATCAATTAGAAAGATTCTTAAAAATAAATCATAATAAAACATATGATAATTTAACAGAAATATCAATAAAAAGACTTGTAATTACAAAAAAAAATGGTTTAGGTAACATATACACAAGTCATACGAGAAGCTCCTATCAAATCCCTCATAGGATAAACTTTTTCAAAAATAAAAAAGGTAAAAGTTCACAGCCTGAAATACCCTAAAACAAATGAAAACAATTTTTAAATACTCCAGTTCATAAAAGTTATTTTGGTTTTGTTTTCAGAACTACATACAAAAAGAAAAGGCTTATTTCCAAGATTGTAGAGTAACATATGTTTCAAATATTTCAAAATGGCATATCACAGAAAATAAAAATCAATCTTTCTTGTATTTGCTAATATTTTGTAAATATAAGGATCAAGAGTCTCAAACAAAATAGTCTCCTAATGTTAACAAGGGAATACCAAAAGGTGATGAAATGAAGGCCAAATAGAAACCATACAACTTGCTCATTTTTCAAAATTACAATGCAGCTTACATGCAATTCAATAATACTATTTTCTGTATAAAGAATATTACAAATGATGATTTGGATCTCAATTTCTGAGGGGTAAAACAAAGCAAATATCTGTTCTTAAGTTAGAAATGGTACACAAAGATATACAACTGTCATTCTGTCAATTTAAACAGAATATATCCAAAGTATATTTTCCACTTCACTATTGAAGATCATCAAATTATTTCCAAAAAATTTAAAAAAATTACTTTATAAATGATACATATATTACCCAAACTGTTTGACCCATACAGTATCTTAAGAGTAGTATTCAATATTACTCTTTCAACTATATGGATCCTAATTAAGGAAAACAGAAAAAAGAGTTTATTCATTGGTAGCAGAAATCCTTCCAAAAGCTAGAGATCCAAAGTGAATAACATAATAATTCTACTAAAAGACAATACTGATACTATTTGGAAGTCCATTATTAATCTGTAACATATAAGCTTCTTTAACTCACTGTCTCTAATTCTGCATAAAAGATAATTCTCTGGCTCAACTATTTCCTCTATGACCAGGAATTTGTATCCAAATTCCTCCACTAGTTTGAAGTTGATGAGCCTATTAATTTTCAAATCTTCATTTCAACATCTAATTGATTTGTATTTATATACACATGCATTATTATATACTGTATATACACATTATTATATTCGTACATTATGTTCTGTATTAGCATAGAATATAAAAATAATAATAAGCCGGGTGCCCATGGCACATGCCTATAATAACCAATTCCAGGAGGTTGAGATAGGAGGATCACAATTTTCAGGCCAGTCTGGGCAACTTTGCGAGACCCTCAAAATTAAAAATAAAAAGGGGTGGGGTTTAGCTCAATTGTAGAGCAACTCTGGGTTCAATACCAGTACCATCAAAAAAAAAAAAAAAAAAGAAAGAAAGAAATAAAAAAATCTTATGGGAGTAGTCTTACCACTTCTTGAACTAAGCTGATTAGTTCCATGAGGCGTCGACGAAGTTTAGCTACCTCTTCGTTCACTTTAGTGACATGCTGCTCATAAATTTCTGCCAAAGGCTTAAAAGTATGTCCACCATGCTATTTAAATTAACAAGAGTAGTTTTAGAACATTTTCACATCTTATCTGCATTTATAATCCTTTTTAACACTCCATAGACATTAATAAACTGGTATATATTTTCAAATGAATTTCATCTTTTTTAGTTACATTTATTTTGTTAAAGTAGGACAGTGCTAACATAAAGTCACCTGGCCCATGTAGGAACTCCTCAAGATTGTAAACAATGGACTTCAGAAAAATTGTTCACATTTAGAAATCTTGACTCATCAGAAGGAACCAAAATACTGGGCTAGTGATGGAGCTCAGATAGAGCACTTGCATATAATGTGTGCAAGTCTGAACCCCAGCACCATGGAAAGAAAGAAAAAAAAAATTCTTAACTATAGTCTAAACCATTGGCTGCAACCTTATTAACCACTTTTTTTCTTGGGCAACAACATGTCTTCTTCCATGTCCTCAAAACTTCTTCCCAGCAGGCCTTTGCTAAAGTTACTCCCTCTTATTCAAAATAATTCTCCTTCATTTTTCCTCCATCTTAGCAGCTATTAATTCCACTAATCCTTGCAGCTAAGCCCATAGTTACAGGATCAGCACCCATAGTTATGTATTCTCATCAACTCTATTATTACCAAAATGTATTACACAGATTTAAATATAGAACTGTTTGATATATCTTCATAATCACCAAATCCCCAGTCTCTAGCACAAGTGACTGAATAAAAAAGATCTTGAAAAACCCAGTGTAGATAATTAACAAAAGCAATGAACCCATTTCTTGTGCTACAAAAGTTTACTTTTGAAATATAAGTCTGATAAAAGTTAGCATAACATTCAATTTAAAGAATTCAGTTAAATTCAGTTTGAAGAACATTTTGGGGGCATTAAAAACCCAAAAATAATTTTGTATCCGATTTTAGTAATTTAATCCATCACTGGTAATTAGAACCTCCTATTTCTATGATAAGAACACTTCCTATAATAAACTCTTAACTAGAATTGTCTAATTTAGCCAAACCGACCAGTATGGTCTCTGAGAGAAAAGAGATGTGGATTTTTAAATGCTCACTTAAAGAAAGTATGGGAAAGAAACTGTCCACTGTTCCTTACAAAACCCATGTATTTAAGTATTAAATTTTGGGAATTTATTTTTTCTAATCAGCACATTAGCATTCATATTCAAACAGAAAGCTCACTGAAATGAATGCTACTCAACCAATTCAGCCAGCCATTCTTTCCGTAAAATATACTGACACAAAAAGAATGATCAATTCTCATGGTTAACAGATCATTCTATGTATCTACCCACTTCCATTCCCACTGTCATTTATTTTCCCAAGAATCTTTTGTGTGGGGTTGGGGTGACCTCAGTGGTAGAATGCGCATATGAGGCTTTGCTTTAAAGGTCAGGTGCAGTGTGAGTTATGCCTATAGTCCCAGCTACTTGGGAAGCTGAGGCAGGAGGATTGCCTGAGCTTGAAAGTTCAATGCCAGCCTGGGAAACATAGAGCCCATTAAAAAAAAAAAAAAATTGCTCTTAAACAAGATGATGGAAAAAAATTAAAAATGGAGTAAAATTATAAAATCTAGATATATGCATTCAGATTGTCTCATGAGTATCTAAGTTTTTGTTCCATTTTAAAGAAACAAAAATTGTAAACTATATCCAGTATACCAGATTACCTGGCCTTTAATGAAAGGTGATCCTACAACAAAAGAGTTAGAAATAATGACAGGGCTAAGAGGAGTAACTCACTGTTGAAATCACTTGTCTAGGATATACAAGAACCATATTTGGACCCCAGCAAGGGGGAGAAGGAAGAATGGTTTAACATGAACATGCATTTTATGGACAGAGTAAGATATTCAAATAAGAGGTACACATCCTACGTCAAATATCTCCACCTAAAGAGGTACTTCTCAGGAAGATCACAAGTTCAAAGCTAGCCTCAGCAAAAGGGAGGCGTTAAGCAACTCAGTAAGACCCTGTCTCTAAATAAAATACAAAATAGGGCTGGGGAAATCTTCAATATATATTCAATCTTCAATGTATATTCAATCTTCAATGGGGATATGACTCAGTGATCCAGTGCCCGAGTTCAATCCCCCATACCAAAAAAAAGAGGTACTTCTGGAATAACAGAAGATACAATACCTTTAATAAGGCGTTTATAAATTAGATGCATTTTAATTTTCATTCAGTAGAATAAATGATACTTTTTTCCTAACTAAATCCAACAAATATTTCAATGCTTTCCAATCTCTAAAGATAAAGAATATACTAAACTTGTTCTGCTTACCATTCCTCCCCAAAGTGCACACTGATGACAGATACACTTCTTACAAGTCCAGCAAAACACGCTAAGTTTTTCATGGTGATTTTCACATCTATACATTATGGAAAAAAAGTTCGAATTAAAATTAAAATATGATTACTTCAACAAAATCCTAAGCTTGGGCAAATATAAATCAATTTTAAACAATTACATAAACAAAAACATAAAATGTATTCCAGGGCTTCTGTGAATTAAACTAAAGAATTATATGTGTAGAAAATTTTTATTAATGTTTTCATTAATTTAGATTACAAACGTATATACTGAAGATTTCTTTCTAAATAAAGCAAAAATTCAGCTCCATTTCCTAACATCACTACAGGTGATAAGTGCTACCCTACATTACATTTTGATCTACACATACATAAACACATAGGCTTGCACTTTTTCTACATGTGGTCAATGATAATCAAGACATCATTAACTGCACATTTAATACCAGATCCTCATGGAAAATAAACACCAAATTTTACTTTTTTTTATTAAACCAGCTATCCACAAGCAAAATAATTAAGTTATATTTGGTTAAAGAAGGAACTGTCCCCAAAAATTCATATGTTGAAGCCTTAACTTCCAATGTAACCATATTTAGAGATAGGACCCTTACGAAAGAAGTAACTAAGGTGACAACATGAGGTCATAAAGAGGAGATCCAATCCAATAGGACTAATGTCCTTATAAGAAGAGGAAGAGACACCAACACTGCACACATACACAACAAAAAACTATGCAATAACAGAAGCAGCAGCAATCCTTTACAAGTCAAGGAAAGAGGCCTCACCAGAAATCAAACCCGCCAGCACTTTGGATTTCTAGACTGCAGAACTGTGAGAAAATAAATTTCTATTGTTTAAGCCACCCAGTCAGTGATACTGTTATGACAGCCCTACTAGAGTAATAACAGACTCTTATATCAGATTTAAAAAAAAAATAAAAGAAGAAAAAAGAAAAGACTAAAAAGGATCAGAAACTTAAATATAAAACCAAAACTATAAAACTCTCAGAGTAAAACACAAAGTGGAAAAGTTTCATGAAACTGGATTTGGCAATGACTTCTTGGATATCACACCAAAAACTCAAGTAACAAAGGTAAAACTTCTGAGCATCAAAAGTCACAAACTGGGCACAGTGGTGCACATCTGTAACCCAGCAATATGGAAGGCTGAGGCAAGAGGATCACAAGTTTGAGGCCAGTTTGAACACCTGCCTCAAAATAAAATAACAATGGCTAAAGATGTAACTCAGTGCTTGCTTGGCAAATACAAGGTCATTCAATACAAATTCATTCAATTCCCAGCACACACAAAAAAATTTTTTTAAATGTCTCTTACAAAGTGACCTACAAATGTCACTACAGGTTGTCACCTACAAAATAGAAAAAAATCTGATAAGGGTTCAATTTCCAGAATAAATAACAGTAACCCCACAAATAAACAGATTTAAAAATAAAGAACATGAATATGTATTTCTCCAAAGAAAATATACAGATGGCCAACAAGCATATGAAAAGATGCTCATCGCTACTAATCAATAGGGAAATGCAAATCAAAACCTTCCATCCATTAGGATGATGATATCAAAAAACTAATAACAAAAATTCCTTCAAGCAATGGCCAAGAGGTGGAGAAACTAAAACCCTTACTGCACTACTGGCAGGACTGTAAAATGGTGTGGTTGCCATAGAAATAGTACAGAGGTCTCTCAAAAAGTAAAATAAAAAAATTGGGATGTAGCTCAACAGTGGAACACTTGTCTAACATACTTAAGCCCTAAACTTGATCCATAGCATCACCACCAAAAAGAAAATATAATTACTAGATGAACATGGTGGCACATGACTATAATCAGTGACTTGAGAGGAAAAAGCAGGAGAACTGCCACCCTCAGCAATTTAGCAAGGACCTCAGCAACTTCCTTGTCTCAAGAACAAAAAAAAAAAAAAAAGGCTGGGGCTACAGTGGTAAAGCATCCTGTGGTTCAATCCCCAGTATCAAAAAAAGAAAAAATAGAATTACTACATGACTTAGTAATTTCAATTCTGAGTATATACCAAAAAGATATGAAAGCAGAGTCTTGAAAACATGGACACCAAATTCATAGAAGCATTATTCATTCATAATATCCAAGATTTTACAAATTTATAATAGCAAATAAGAAAAGAAGCAGCATATTAGATTCTATCTGAAGCTTACATAAAGGTTTTTGTGGGGTTTAGTTTTTTAAATAACAGCCATCCTAATGGATAAAAATTTGAGTTGCATTTCCTTACTGATTAGTAATGATGAGCTTTTGCAATGTGGGCCATTTATCAGAACAATTCTTTTTTTTTTTGGTGATGGGGGGCTGACGGGGTAGGTGGAGGTGGGGTGAGGGGGTGAGGTGGGTACCAGGGATTGAACTCAGGGGCACTTAACCACTGAGCCACATTCCCAGCCCTATTTTGTATTTTAGTTAGACATAAGGTCTCACTGAGTTGCTTAGCGCCTCCTGGTTGCTGAGGCTAGCTTTGAACTCAATCCTCCTGTCTCAGTCTCTAGGGCCACTGGGTAGAACAATTCTTAATTAGTAGTCTATACATACTTGCAGCAAACCAAGGGGACCAGGAGGCATCAAGTACCAAAAAAGAGATTGGCAGATTAGTAAACTGTAGCAATTCCAATCCTTTTAATTTTTATTTTTATGTATTTACTGGTTCCAAGGATTGAATTCAAAGGGTACTTTACCACTGAGCCACATCCCCAGCCCTTTTTATTTTTTGAGACACTGTCTCATTAAACTGCTTAGGGCCTTGCTAAATTGTTGAGGCTGACTTTGAACTTGTGATCCTCCTGCCTTAGCCTCCCAAGTCTCTGAGATTACAGGCATGCACTACTGTGCACACCTCCATTCCTTTTATGGAGGATCCAGTAAGAGAGGTCCAAGAAAAGGTAAAGGGTGTTTCCAAACAGTGACACCTGAAATCCCAGAATACCCATATGTTTACTTATGAAATTTGTTATAAAGAAAATTTAAGATTAAATCATTAGTTTTAGTGTGACATCTTTAATACTAGAAATAACAGAAAGCCTCAAGAGTCCAGTTTAAACATGCATGGTGGCATACATCCCAGTTACTTGGGAGGCTGAGGCTGGGGAATTACAAGTTGGAGGCCAGGCTGGGCAACTCAATAAGATTGCTCAAAAAAAAAAGTTCCAGCTTAACTAGTAGAGTAATAGTAGAAACACCAGGTTTTATTTCTGATTATGAATTATCATTAACATTTTAAGCCTCTTCCATTTCTACAGTTCTGGCTTATCATAATGAAGGAACACATAAGATTTTTTTTTATAATGACCCTTGATGTTTCAACTTCTTGCTTTAACATGTTGTGCATCTATAGAAAGAGACATGTCTTTATTTTTAATATGGAATGCTTCATGAATTTGCACATCATCCTGAGCTAATCTTCTCTGTATCATTTCAATTTCAAGTGTACATGCTGCAGACGCAAGCACTTTGTTTTTAAACATTCAACATTACTGGAATCTCTGCTAATTTAAGTTATTATTAATTGCCTTCCAATTAACTATATAGTTTCTTAATCTATAAAACAGATTACTGCTATATTACTAGGTCTTTCTTCTCATTTTCTGTTCCTCATATCCCTGAAAATATGATCAAAATAGTTAATCATGTACCAAAAGACCATTCTTGTCCCTCAAAGTTTCTGCTCCCACGGCAGTGTCCAACAACTTATCACTATATTAAGGTTCTGTTCTGTTCCATTAAATAGTTAAACAGAAATCATGTATCATTTGCATTTGTATCCCCATAATCTAGTACCTACATACGTAAGTGTATACATAGCATGAAATAAATGTTTAAAAAAAACAACAAAAGGGGTTGGGGTTGTGACTCAGCGGTACAGCGCTCGTCTAGCACGTGCAAGGTGCAGGGTTCGATCCTCAGCACCACATAAAAAATAAATAAATAAAATAAAGGCATTGTGTCCATTTACAACTAAAAAAAATTTTAAAAATAAAACATAATAAGCATGAATCATTACTCAGCTGGGCATGGTGGTACATGCATATAATCCCAACTACTTGCAAAGCTGAACTAGAAGGATGGCAAGTTTGAAGCCAGCATGGGTAAATTAGCAAGACCCTATCACAAAATAAGAGCCAGAGAACTGTGGTAGAGTGCTTGCCCAGTATGCACAAGGCTCTAGGTTCAATATCCAGTACCAAAAACAAAGAAAGAATGAATCGTTTTAAATACCTTCAGAAAAATGAAAGCATTAGAAAATTAAGAAATGCTAAATTTCAATTATAAATGATTAACAGTGAAATATTAATATAACTGTATCATTAGGGTTCAGTTTAGTGGCAGAGTGTGTGCTTCTTGACACACAAAGCCCCCAAGTTCAATCCCCAGCAACACACACAAACAAACAAACAAAAAAGTAAAAACCGCGTCATTAAAATAGTACATGGAGAGGCTGGGGTTATGGCTCAGCAGTAGAGCGCTCGCCTCACGTGTGTGAGGCCCTGGATTCGATCCTCAGCACCACATAAAAATAAATAAATAAAATAAAGATATTGTGTCCATCTACAACTAAAAAATAAAAATTTAAAAAAATAGTACATGGCAAAATCTATTAGATACTGAATAAGAAAACTGAGAATATACTTGTCTTTTTCATTTTCTTCATGTTTGGTGAGACTGCAGAGCTGAAGAGTATCAAGCTGTTGTGTAACTTCTTCGGCCCAACGACAATTTACTAGTTCTCGAAGCTGGAGAGGAGCACTGCAGAGAAAATCCATACACATATTCTGAGAAAAATGAGATTATTTTCTGAAATAAACACATTCCTCAAAACAGAGCTCACAATCACACTTATACCACAATACTATTAAAGACAATGAAAAAATGCTTTCAACTTATATTCACATTAATACAACATATATTAAAAACAAAAAATACTGATAATTCAGATTATGAACTGAATTTTCAACTCCTTAGTCTAAAGTTGTACAGTCCAAAATGACAGCCACAGGGAATACTATTTGATGGTAGAGCTTAATGGTACAATGCATGTGACAGCATGTGCGAGACCCTGGATTTGATCTGCACCACCACCAATATAAAACAAAAAATGATAGCCACTAGTCACATGTGACTATCTTACTTAAATTTTTAAAGAATAAAATGGCACGGGCTGGGGTTGTGGCTCAATGGTAGAGCACTCGCCTAGCACTCATGAGGCACTGGTTCAATCCTCAGCACCACATAAAAATAAAGGTTATCGTGTCCACCTACAACTAAAAAAAAAAAAAATTAAAAACAAGAATAAAATTTCATTACACAGACAAACAAGACACATTTCAAGTGCTCAAGAGCCACATGAAGCTACCATATTGAATAGTGTAAATACAGAACATTTCCATCATCACAGGACGTTTCATTTAATAGTGCTGATTTTCTCACAAACTCATGTGAGAAAAGTAAATAATCCTGGAGGAAACAAGGGCAAAAGATGGCACTCTGCCACCATTATTTGAAATAACCAGAAGTTGAAACAAATTAAATGTTTCTCAATATGGGCATAAATAAATAAAACTACATAGTTACAGAGGGAAATATTATTCAAACATTTTTGTGTCTTTTGGTGAGGGGTACCAGAGATTGAACCCAGAGGCACTTAACCACTGAGTCATATCTGCAGCCTTTTTATTTTTTTATTTTGAGACAGGGTCTTGCTAAGTTGCTCAGGGCCTCACTAAGTTGCTGAGGAAGGCCTCAAATTTGTGATCCTCCTGCCTCAGCCTCTCAAGTTGCTGGGATTACAGGTATGTGCCACTGTGTTTACTCAAGCTTTTTAAAAAAAATGACACACACACACACACACACACACATATACACATACATACAATCAAGGAAAGATATCTACCATTTTTATTAACAGTATTGTATCTGTGTAGTGTAACAAAAAGCATAAGGATATGTTATCAGTATATACAAGAAAAAGTGTGTAGAAAAACAGATACCATACTAGGTATGATGGTACACATTTACAATCCCAGCTACTCAAGAGGCCTAGCCTCTACAATTTAGGGACAGCCTGTCTCAAAATAAAAACTACCTGGGGCGCACCTATAATCCCAGCAGCTCAACAGGCTGAGGCAGGAGGATCACAAGTTCAAAGCCCAGCCCCAAGAACTTACCGAGTCCCTAAGCAACTTAGCAGAACCTGTCTCTAATAAATACAAAAAAGGGCTGGGATGTGGCCAAGTACACCTGAAATCCTCAGTGCCACCCCCCCTTCACCCTGCCACCACAAAAATAACTAGAAATGTAGCCCAATGGTAGAGTGCCACTGGGTTCAATCCCTAACACTACAAAGAAGAAAAAGAATAGATACTACACATAACAATTTCTTCTGAAAGTATTTTGTGAAAACATAGGATTTAAAATAGTACAACCAGAAGACTTTCCCCCACCCCGTATGGGGTTGAACCCAGGGGTGGGCTATTTTTTAGTTACATCCCCAGTCCTTTTTTTTCCCCCATTTTTGTGGAGAGGGGGTCCCAGATGGAGACAGGATCTCACCGAATTGCTGAGGCTGGCCTCAAATTTGTCATCCTCCTGACTTAGCCTCTCAAGTTGCTAGGATTACACATATGTGCCATGATACCCCATAGAACCTAAAGCCTTTTCATATTAATATTTATCGTGAATATTTTTAAACCAAAAATATGTAAACTTTTATTTAAATTATAAATAGCTAAGAAGTCACATGATAATATTCTATGAGAGGCAGGGGTACAACATGCTAAGTAATGTAATACATCCTATATAATCTTAAGTCAGGGAAATTAGTGTTTCATTTCTTTTTAGACATAATACTTATTTTCTCTTCAAGCATATTAATGAGAAGTACAGTAAATTGCAAAGAAAATTGTGCCTTTATGAATCCTGAGGCACACTTTAACCCTGTAATCTTACTCTTTTTTAGGATTCACAAATGATTGTAGCAAAGTACTTACCGACAATGAGGACACTGAGCTCTCTGCTCTGTCAGCCAGCGCTAAAGAGGTAGAAGAATTAGATTTTGATTGTAAAAACACCATTAATTTATATATATATTCAGTATTTATAAATCAAATTTAATGAGTTTGTCTCATGATTTTCCCCTTCATTTTATTTACAACACTTTATTATGATTATTTGTTGTTCTCCTTACACTGCTACATTATAATCTTATTAAAGGTTCAAATTATGATAGGGAATAACCTCACCATATTCTTTAATATGGTCAAAACATTGGGCTGGAGTTGTAGCTCAGTAGTAGAGTGCTTGCCTGGCATGTGTGAGGCACCACATGTAAATAAATAAAATAAAGGTCCATTGACAAGTAAAAAAAAGAACTAAAAACAGGCTGATTGCTGCAATACATGCCACTCTTGGCATCATATTTTTGTATCTGTTTATAATCCCAGCAGAATATCCTTTGCTTATGGTCCATAAATCCTTCCTGCCAGCCAGGTGTGGTGGCACACTACTGTATTCCCATCTACTCTGGTGGCTGAGGCAGGAGGATCACAAGTTCAAGGCCAGCCAAGACAACTTAGCGGATCCTGACCTCAAAATTTTTAAAAAGTGAAAAAGAGCTGGGAGGTAGCTCAATAATAAATAGAGTGCTCTTGGGTTCAATCCCCAAACAACTACTGCCATACATTTCACATGCATATACAAACTGAGCCGAGTGTGGTGGCACATGTAATCCCAGAGGCTTGGGAAGTGGAGGTAGGAGCATCAAGAGTTCAAAGCCAGCCTCAGCAACTCAGCAAGGAGGCCCTATGCAACTCAGTCAGACTCCTGTCTCTAAATAAAATAAAAAATAGGGCTGAGGATGTGGCTTAGTGGTAAAGAGCCTCTGGGTTCAATCCCCAGTCCAAAAGAAACACCAACACATGTACATTCCAGGAGAGTAAGCTTTTCCTTCTCTGAACATTAGTGGCATTTTTACCTTCTATTCATGACCCTATCACAAAATAAATATGGCAATTTTATTATTTTGAGAAAAAAATAATGAAATTCAGAGATAGAAAGTAGAACAGTAGTTACCAAGGAATTGGAGAGAGGAATAATGAGAAGTAATTGTTTAGTGGGTATAATATTTTAATTTGGGATGATGAAAAAAGTAGTGGAGATTGATAGTGGTGACAGCTGCATAATATAATGTACTTAATACCACAGAACTGTACACTTAGAAATAATTAAGCGCCCCTTTAATCCAAGTGGCTCAGGAGGCTGAGGCAGGAGAATTCCAAGTTCAAGGCCAGCCTCAGCACTTAGTGAGGCTCTAAGCAACTTAGCAAGACCCTGTCTCAAAATAAAAAATAAAAAGGGCTGGGGATATGGCTCAGTAGTTAAGCGTCCCTGGATTCAATCCCCAGTACCAAAAAAAAATAAAAGTTAAAATGGAGAGTTTTACATTATTTAAATCTTACCACAATTTTTTAAAAGTCAAGCAAAGAATTACCGTATGACCCAGAAATTCCACTACTAGGTACATAATCAAAAGAAATGAAAACAGGGACACAGATACTTATACACCTATGACTATTCAATAGCCAAAAAGTGAAAACAACCCAAGAGTCAATCAACCAACAAAAACAAATACATGAATTGCAGTATACATATGCAATGGAAGATTATTCAGCCATAAAAAAGAATGACATTGACACATGCTGCCTGAATGAACCTTGGACACATGCTAAATAAAACAAAACTCAAATACAGTATGATTTCACTCACATGAAATATTTAGATAAGTAAATTCAGAGAGACAGATTAGAGGTCACCATGGACTGGGGAAAGGGAGAAATGGAGAATTATTGCTTAATAGGTAAAGACTTTGAGGCAATGAAAGTTTTAGAAATGATGATATGGTTGTACAACATTGCAAATATAATTAATGACACAAGTGAACAATATGGATAAAATGGCAAATTTTGGTATATATATTGCCACAAAGAGGAGTATAAAGTGTTTGTACAGACACTGGAAAGATCATCACTCAAGAGAAATACTAACTAAAACCACAATGAGATACTGTTATACACACTAGAACAGCTAAAACTCAAAAAAGTGAACATACCAAGTACTAGCATTAATTTGGAGGAAAAAGAACTCTCATACATTCCTGGTTTAAAATGTAAAATGATTCAACTACAGTTTGGCAATTTAGTTAAAAAGTTAAACACACATCTACTAATATGATCTAGCCATTCTATAACTATTTATCCAAGCAAAAATAAAGCTTCAGTTCTTCAAAGACTTGTACACAAATATTCATAGGAGCTTTTCATGTAATAGCAAAAAACAATACCACATGTCCATCAACAGGTGGATAGCAAATCATGGCATATGCATGCAGTGAAACACTATTCAGCAATAAAAAGGACTACTACTGATAAAACATAGATGGAGCTCAAAATAATTTTTTTATTTCACTTCTGTCTTTTTTTATTTTTATTGATTGATTGATTGATTGATTGTGGTGCTGGGAATTAAACCCAGGGCCTTATGCATGCAAGGCAAACACTCTAGCAACTGAGCTATCTCCCCAGCCCCTCAAAATAATTTTACCAAGTGAAAATAGTCAAACACATAACAGTAACAGTACATATTGTATTATTTCATTTGTATAAAATTCCAAAAAAAAACTTATCTATAGAGCATAAACCAAGTTGGTGGTTTCCTGGTAACTACAAGAGGGAAGGCACAAGAAAATTTGGGGGAATAATAGATATATTCAATAACCCGAATACAGTGATAGTTTTACAAGTATATACTTATATCAAAACGTATTCAACTGAAAGAAAACATCAAAATGTATATTTTAAAAAATTCTACCTAATAAAAATGACTAGCAAAATAAAAACAAAATGAAGTCAATAATTATAAGCAATACTACCAATGCTAAAAATCAAGGGGGTCAAAAAAAGTTGGATGAGAAAGATGGTATCAAAAAAAAAAAAAAAAGGGAGAAGATACAAATAGAAAAAGATGAAAAAAAACAGGTGTAGCTGGATGAGTAAGAGAGACCTTGCCTGAAAATACATCCAATGTTCCCACCTTTTAATGTGGAAACCAACCCATGGGTTGAGCACTGGCATGGAGATGAGTACAGTCCTGGTCTGTCACCAAACTACTGGCTGATTTTAGACACATCTATTCCTAAATTTGGACCTTGTACATAAAACACATGCCTAGAAATTCAGAAGGCTGAGGGAGGAGGATGGCAAGTTCCAAGCCAGCCTCAGTAATTTAGCAAGACCTGCTCAAAATAAAATAAAAAAGGCTATGGTGTGGCTCAGTGGTAGAAGGCCTCTGGGTTCAATTCCCAGTATGGGGCAGGGGTAGGAGGGAGCATGGACCTTTGTTTTATTCAGTGGCACAAATATCTGTACCATCAGTCAAATTTCCATGATCAATAAACAAAGATGGAATGGGGGAAAAGGAAACACTGTTGGTTACAATTTGGTGAAGACTTGCTCCAGTCATTAAATCAAAGTCCTCCAGCATTGTTAATTCCTCTCTAATGATTCAGTGGTAGCAAAATACAAATTAAGCAAAAACACTGACTACCAACATCCCCCTTCAACAGTGCCTTATTTTTTTCTTATATTACATTTGTCCTAAAAGGTTTTTTTTGGTACTGGGGATTGAACTCGGGGGCACTCAACCACTGAGTCACATCCCCAGCCCTATTTTGTATTTTATTTAGAGACAGGGGTCTCACTGAGTTGCCTAGAGCCTCACTTTTGCTGAGGCTGGCTTTGAACTCTCAATATTCCTGCCTTGGCCTCCTGAGCCACTGGGATTATAGGTATGCACCACTGCAAGTGGCCTCTCCTGAAAGTTTTTTAATGTTTGCTTTTTCTCTTCCCACTCTCTCCCATCAGGTTTTCATCCTCACTATTCCACTAAGTCTTCACCAGGTCACCAATAACCTATCCATTTTGAAATCCAATGACTGATTCCCAAGTCAGAACCATAAAACACAACTAAAGAGATTAGGCTCTTGCTTGGTCTCTTTTGCTCACCTCCTCCTGACCTCTAAATGGTTAGAATGCCCCAGAGTTCAGACCTAAATTCTGTTCCCACAGGAGATAATTTGAGTGTTCCCATCTAGTTTCTCCATTTTAAATACAATCTAAATGCTGATTATATTGGTCTCTCTAACCTCCCCTTACTCAAGACTTACTTTTGCCAGGCATGGTGGTGCACACCTATAATCCCAGCACCTTGGGAGGTGGACACAGGAGGATCACAAATTTGAGACAGCCGATTTCAGAATAAAAAATAGAAAAAGAACTGAGATGTAACTCAGTGGTAGAGCATCCCTGGGTTCAATCCCCAGTACTGAGGGAGGGGGGAAAACAAGTCAAAGCTGAAGGAATAGATCTAGGACCCATATACAGTGGATAACAAAAACCTGCAAAAATTAATCATTTCCCAAAGTAGACACATTTTTCCAGAAACCTCAGAATAGAGAAAGCCAGCATCAATATATAAGAAATGAATGTACATTCCTGTAATTCCAGCAACTTGGGAGGCTAAGGCAAGTTTGAAGCAAATCTCAGCAACTTAGCAGACCCTATCTCAAAATTAAAATGGCTAGGGGTGTATCTCAGAGTAGAGCAACACTGGGTTCAAATCCCAGTACCCAAAAAAAAGGCACTTAAGAGACAGGAGGAATGTAACAAAGAAAAAAAGATTCAAGGATGTATAAACTAATAATCAGAGATTATAAGCATACAAGACCTTCATTAAAAGGAACTGAGTCCAGATTTACACTCTACCAATTAATGAGCTATGGTGATGGAGGTATATCACTTAACCTCTCAGGCTACAGTTCCACTATTTATAAAACAAATGCTATGTGTATTGGTTGATGTTTTAACAACCAGAAGGATATAATACCTTACAAGTGGATGATGCTTTATAATCTCTGAATTTCTTTTAGCTTTATCCATTTAATGCCTAACTACCCTGTGAGGCAGATTGTGTTATCTGAATCCTATAGCTGAGGAAACAAGGCTAATACATTTAATTCTCTCCTTTTATCAGTGTGAGAACATCATATGTAACCTAGCTCTACTAGAAGCACATGGTGTAGAGGCAAAGGACAGACTCTAAAGTCTTAATGGGTTCAAACCTAGGTCCAACATTTGCTGTATGTGTGACTGGAAGAAAATTATTGAAGTGGTACAAATATTATTCTTGACAAAGGGATATTTATCTTTTTTAGGAAAGAATAAGGAAACAAATTTTCAGGTGAAGAGCACTGTTGAGAGCCACAGCCTAAGGGGCCCAAGCAAACTTCCAGCTGCCAGCAAACTTCCAGCTGCCCGCTGATGATTGGCTCACAGCAGCCCCAGCAACATCTAGCTGATTGGCTCCTCTGCGGTGATGCTCATTGGACTGTTTCCCTGCCCTTTCAGACCACGGAGCTGCTCATTGGGGGACTTTTTTGGCTCCGCCCACGTGACCCAGCCAATCGGCCTCAAGAGCAGGAGGATTGTGGGAGGTGGAGAGAAGCTTGTGTGGGAGAGAGAGGCTTGTGGAAAGCCGGTGGTGGCAGTTGAGGCTCTGAGGGTTTTTCCTGAGAGGCTATTTTGTTTGGCGTGTGTGGTTCTAAAAATAAAGTTAGTTTCTTTTGACAAGTGGCTCCTGATTGAAGTGGTACAAATATTATTCTTGACAAAGGGATATTTATCTTTTTTAGGAAAGAATAAGGAAACAAATTTTCAGGTGAAGAGCACATTAGAAGGCTTTGATTTTCTCAGTAAAGGAATATCTCAAGAGTAATGTGAGCAAGACATTTTTCAACTGTGCTCTGCAAATGTCTTCCTGGATCCCCACAATCAAAATAAGTTCTTCTGTTTTATATCTTGAGCTTTCCCACAATTTTAAGGGATTCCCTTGTATTCAAGTGATAGTTACCCCCACCCCACCCCACCCCGCCCTGCCCTGGTACTATGCTACCTTCTTATTTTGAGACAGGTTCTCATTAAATTGTGGTGGTAGCCTTGAACTTGTGATCCTCATGCCTCAGCCTCCAGAGTCACTGGAATTATAGGTGTGCACCACTGCACTTAGCTTGTATTCAATTTTAAAACCACTAGATTATATCCATCTCTATGGTCTCTTGTAAGATTATAATGTGATTCTCTTAGATTTAAGCTCTTGCAAAAAAGGCACTTTGTCATTTATCTTAGTATTCCTCAACCCCAAACATAATGCAGGTAAACAGTTTACAAGTATTTGTTAAATGTATAGAGAAGTTAATAATTTAAATATATTAAAATTACAGTGAACTTTATTTCCAGAAGCACTATTTATCTCCATACAAATTGGCGGTATATTAAAGAATCTTCATTTAAAAGACATTTTTTAAAAGGACTCAAAATGTAAAATAAGAAAAAAGACATGGAAATGGTTGATCCTTACAGAAGATCATACATAAACTGAACGCATTTAAAAAGAAATACAACTTACCCTAATACAGCTGAAACAACAAAGCTTGGAGCAATGAGGACACAGGCGAGCATCCCGCAATTTTTCCATACAAATGAAGCATCGGAAAACCTCAGCAATGCTCTTAAAATAATAAAAAAGACATAAAATCCCAAGATAAGACTACTGAATCAAAAGTTTAAAACATGCTAAAAATAATTCACTGACCATTTACATTTATTCTGAGCTAACACCTTAGTTTTAACTATATTCCCAATCAGAAATTAGCTAGTCAAGGCTCAGGGTGCCTCAGAATACCTCCTGGAAATTGGGGGTAGGGGAATTGTGTTTTTTTTTTTTTTTTAAGCTTGACAATGAATCTGTTCTAAGGAAAATGTATGAAATGCAAAGATTATCTACAAATGTTTTCAATAAAGCATTAACAATAATGGCAAGAATCTAGCTATAGCCCCAGTGTCCAAATATTAAGTAAATTATAGTAATTATAGGACAGAGTCACTAAAAATATTTCTTGATTGATGGACAAGGTGGTCCACCCAGCTTCTTGGGAGGCTGAGACACAAGAATCAAAAGTTCAAGGCCAGGCTGGACAATTTAGCAAGACCCTCTCAAAAAAGGGATAAGGAGTATAGCTCAGTGGTAGAGTCCCCGGAGGTTTAACCCCCAGTACCACAAAATAAATTTAAAAAAAAAAAAAATACAGGAGTAAGAGACAATTTAGTATGTGGCTCAGGGGTACAGCACTTGCCTAGCATGTGCTAGACCCTAGTTTAAATCCCTAGTACTGCAAAAAGAAAAACAAGTGTGTTTGATTTAATGATACAGAAAAAATGCTAATGATCTATTATGCTAAAAAAAAAAAAAAAAAAAAGCAGTCTGTGTGGCTAAATGTACAATATTGTTTATTTTTTCTGCAGTTTCCCAAAAGAGAAATTGCTTTTATAATTAAGAAGACAAATACTGCCAAACACAGTGGTGCAGGTCTGTAATCCCAGTGACTCATGAGGCTGGAGGAGGAGGATTGCAAGTTCAAGGCCAGTCTTGGCAATTTAGTGAAACCCTAAGCAGCTTGGAGAGATCCTGTCTCAAAAAAAAAAAAAAAAAATGTATAAGGGCTGGGGATGTAGCTCAGTGATAAAATGCCCCTTGGTTCAATCTCCAGTGCCAAAAAAAAAGGAAAACATTTTAGAAAAACATGAATCCCATTGGCAGTGTATTTTGATCCAGAAATAAACTAATTCATAATCCAGAAATATGATTTTCTGTCCTGACACTGTGACCAACTAACTATTTAAGACTGAGAATCTACCCCCTACTGAAAATTACAGTGGCAACTCTTTGGGGCCTCAGAAAAAAACAACTTGTAAATTGAATGCTATTATCTTTGCAAACCTCAGTTGAATCAATTTAGGAAGCAACTGACAAAACAAGAAAACGCATAAAATGGCTTTTTTTGTTTGTTTGTTTGTTTGACTGACATTTAATTTTATTCCATTTCGGAAGAACTGAACTCTCCTAAAACAAGGAAATTTTACAAAACTTTTATAATACTTTCACTTGGGGAATTAAGGAGAAAATTACTCACGAGTTTAATCATAAACGCAGGAATAGAACTTGTAAGAGGCAGACTTTTAGCTCACTGGGGGTGGTCAAAAAGATCACTAGAAGAACTAGTTTCAAGTGGAGGGGTCCAAAATACAGTTACCCTTATCAAGAAGCAAGGATTTCTTATTTCAGTATTTGAAAGGTTCGAAATTAGGCAATCATTATGTAATTATGCCCATGGTAATTGTGCCCATGAGGACTTATGAAAATATCCCAACCATGTGAAATCACAACTTACAAGAATCAGATATGAAAGTCTGTTCTAGATGCTACGGTCAAATAAGACAGTACGATATATATATATATATATATATATATATATATATATATATATATATATATCTCAATCTAGGAAAGGCAGAAGCCTGCGAAATCTAACACAGGGAGGGAAAAATGATTATCCATTCGGAGCGAGATGTGGATGCGCTCTCAAGTACAAGTAGTAGTGGCGAGTAGCAAGGCACGTCTATCTGATGAATTTGCAGTTTTGTTCTGCACAGGTTGTATTTTGCAAATAACTCGGTGGCGATAAGTACAGGTGCCGAGATATCCTGAAAACACCAGAATACGCAGCACCTGACTGCGGAACAGTCTTGAGTAAGAGAAACCCAAAGGGTTACAGAACGAGCACCGGGCCAGCGCTCCACGCAGCGGCAACCACCGCAAGGGCTAGGGGGACGCCTACCAGAAGGATGTCGAGGGAATGGCGCCCCGAATAAAATACGCTCACAAAGTGGCGGGGGAGACTAACCACCACCCTCCACAACCCCCCCTCACCTCCACACTCTGTTCATCCATTGCCTCCGGCTCTCGGCGGGGCCCCCCGCGACCCGCGGAGTCCGTGGTTTGCCCTGTTAGGCGCTGACCCGAGGTCGCCAGGTCAAATCACCAGGAACAGCCTGGGCCCGCGTCAAGGGGCTCCGACAACTGCCCAACCTGCGCGCCCCATCGCTTCAGGTTCTGTACGGGCTACCCCCATTTCGCCATTTTTATCCGCGAGCCCGCCTTGGGGCACAGAGGTAGAGCGAGCGGTGGCCAGAGCTCCTTCCTCCCGCCTCACCCGCCAGCGAGGGACAGCAAGAGCGCCTCGGCCCACGTGACGCGGGCGCGAGCGTATCTGAACTGCCACTGGACCCCGGAGGGCGCTGGTCACAGGCGAAGAAGGCGCCGCAGAGAATTCGCAAACACCAACGGTAACCAGGGCAGCTAGAGCGCGGCAGCCCGGGCAGACGCCATACGCATGCGTCCAGAACGGGAGAGGAGGAGAAGCGGGCGCGTAGTTCCCGCGGTGCGGGGGCGTACACGAGACTTGACTAGTAGCTGCCGCAGGGTTGCATGCCTTGGGCCGCAAACTGGCGCGCGTCGCCTTAACTCATAGCTTCTCCTGGCTCCGCCCGGCTTCAGAGGGGCGGTGCCGCACTAGCCTCAAAAGTTAGCGCGCCAAAAACTAGAGCTACCTGGGGTGATTGTGGAAAACGCTGACTTCAAAGCCATACCCCAAGGTATTCTGACTCCTACTAGATTGTTGGGTGGGTAAGGAAATCGGCATTTTCAGGAACCACTCGCGGTGACCCGCTGCAGATGGTCTGTGGTCAACACCTTTAGAAATCCTCGAATGGAGAATTCCTGGTTAGTAGTTCTTTCTCTGAGAGGAAGCGATTCAAAGACTACCTTTCCGCCTAGCCCAGTGGAATTGGCAAAGCTCCAGTTTGTGAATACTGGAGAGGTGTTTCTCATTTCGCTGGTTGGAGGACAGACCACGAATAAAGACACCTGACCAAACACCCCAGGCTTCCTTTCTTGCCAATTGAGTTGAGCTGTCGCCCTGTAACTACTGAAAAGGATCTCAGCTGTATTCACCTTTCCTATACGTGGGATCTACTTTCTACATTTTCCTGCCAGAAGAGACACGTGTATTGCAGAAATTTGTGAGTCAATGTACATACATAAAATTCCTACTTTGAACCTCATTTTTCCTTTCCGGTGTATTGCACACAGCTATTTATTATTAGTACCACAATTTAGAGTATGCATGTAGGGAATTAATAACCTTGAATATGGGTTAGGGTTGTGGTTCAGTGGTGGAGTGCTTGCCTACCATGTGAGGCACTGGGTTCGATCCTCAGCACCACATTAAAAAAAATAAAAATAAATAAAGTTATTGTCCACGAAATAAGTGGACAAATTTTAAAAAAAAAACCTAGAATACCACACATTCAGATTTAAAGGAGTAGACAACAACAAGGTTTTAAATGGCATGATCCACAGACAAGATATGATTAATCTGGGAATGAAAATGCTTTCACTAAAAAGAAAAAGTGATGGTTGCACAATGCTATACTAAAAGGTCCACTTTTCATTTTTTAATTGTTATGTGAATTCTTCAATTTTAAAATTTTTTTGAGCACCAAGGGGTGGTATCCCAGGCCTGTAATCCTAATAGCTCGGAGGCACAGACAGGTGGATCACAAGTTTGAGGCTAGCCTCAGCAATTTAGCAAGGCCTTAGGCTACTTAGTGAGACCCTGTCTCAAAAAAAAAAAAAGGTATGGGGATATAGCTCATTGGTAAAGCATCCCTGAGTTAAATCCCCCCAGTGTATGTATGTATGTGTGTGTGTGTGTGTGTGTGTTGTATATATATATATATTAAAACATTGTGACAGTACAGTACTTGGGATTCCAAGATTAATGAGAAGTGGTTATTGCTCCTAAAGGACAGTACAGCAGACAAATAAGACAAACTACAATACATGATAAACACTAAAATAAGTTATTATATACTTGCCCAAGAAATTAAAAAATGTTTAAGGATTTATTGCACTAGTTCAAAATAATGAAAATTTAGAAAAACCTGGAAAATTAGGGCCCTTAGGTTATAAGCATGAAGTCTGATTCTAACTAAATTGAGCAAAGAAAAAAATTAGTAGTCAGAATGCTTTAAAGTTCATCTGCCAAGCACTGGGGTTGGGGAGCCTGTTACCTGTTCTGTCAGAGTCCCTAAAGGCTGGCTGTGCTCCCCTCTCCACAACATAAATCCCCTAACTGCTATTGTATAACTTGTTACATAGCTTAAATGTCTCTCAACAAGGAAGTAATCAAAATCATGGTACATCCATTTAACAGTTGTTAAAAAGAATGGTAGATGTGTGATATGTGACATGACAAAAACATTTACAATGAAAAAGAAATTAGCCAAGTGTGTTGGTTTACACATTTGGGAGACTGAGGCAGTAGGATCACAAGTTTAAGGTCTGCCCCAGTAATTTAGTGAGGCCCTGAGCAACTTAGACCATGTCTCAAAATAAAAAGTTAAAAGGACTTGGGGATGTAGCTCAGTGGTAAAGAACCCCTGGGTTCAATCCCCAGTATTCTGCCTGGCTCCATGGAGGTGGGGGGGAAAAAAACTAAAAATAGCTGCAGTACAATGTATGTTTATCAACCTGTTTTGTAAAACAAAAATAATTTTGTAAAAATCTAAATACATGTAGAAATGGTTGAAGAAATTGTACATTACTTTTGGAGAACAGGCATTTTTATACTTTTAATATGTTAAACATTTATTACTTATAACATATATAAAAACACTATAGCCACATAGGAGAAAAGTATAATCTAGATGACAAATGATATCTAAATTAGCATAGTAAGAATGAAGATAAAGGGCTGGGGTTGTGGCTCATTGGTAGAGCACTTGCCTAGCATGCGCGAGGACCTGGGTTCGATCCTCAGCACCACATAAAAATAAACAAACAGGGCTGGGGTTGTGGCTCAGTGGTAGAGCGCTTGCCTAGCATTTGTGAGGCACTGAGTTCGATTCTCAGCACAACATACAAATACTTAAAATAAAGATCCATCAACAACTTTAAAAATATTTAAAATAAATAAATAAACAAAGTAAAGGTATTGTGTACAACTAAAAAATAAATTAAAAAAAAAGAATGAAGATAAAGTGGAAGTTGGATATTATTAATAATTCAGAAAAAGAACTGTAGGTTTTATTGACTAAGAAGATAATCTTAGTTGTACAGATTTCAATTTCAGCTAACAGAAGAGTGGTCATTAACAAAATAATAAGCATTCTGAACATCTTCAATTTGAATCTTCAGGGAAGGAATTTATTGGCAGTATGAATATAGAGCAAGCAGAAGTTATATTTAGGAGTCACCCACAGAGGCTTGAGGCTTGGGAAACAAAAAAATATATTGAAGCAGGGCATACTGGCAGACACCAGTAATCTCAGCTACTTGGGAAGCTAAAGCAGGAGGACCACAAATTTGAGACCTGCCCAGGAAAGTAAGGGAGACACTGTCTACAAAAAAAAAAAAAAAAAAAAGAAAGTTGGGGATGTAGTTCAGTGGTAGAATGATTGTCTAAGCATGCCTGAGGTCCTAGATTCAATCCCTAGTATAGTATTAAAACCAAAGGTTAAAATATATATATATATATATATATATATATATATATATATATATATATATACACATATACATAAGAGAGAGAGAGAGAGAGAGAGAGAAAGAAATGCAGCAAGAACAATTTTAAGGAGACTGAGGGTTCCACTGCGCGACCAGCACGCTGTCTTCATACAAGTGGTTCGAAGCAATAGAAGTTAACTAGTGAGATCAAAATAAACACACAAACTCAATTTACCTTTTTTCTTTGACCAGGTCTGAGACAGCTCTCCCCTCTGGCTCCTGCCTAGAGCCACCCTGTGGGGCAGCAAGGTTTACACAGACTAGCAGGAGAGAGAGAGAGAGCAAGCCAGGGAGTGGCCTTTTATTGGGGAACAAGAAATTCAGGGGAAAATTCCTTCCAATGAAGGTCAAGGGAGAAGGCATTCCAAGGTCAGTGTCAGTCACACCCCAACACGGATGGGCTCTCGCACCTAGAGAGGGTGGGGATTAGTTCCAACACAGTTTAGCCAGACCGCCTCACACCCAATCAGGGAAGTGCCCAATCACGTGCGAGAATGGCTTCCCACAGAGGGTCAAAACTACCATTTAGAAAACAACTATAAAGGAAATCATAGAAGAAAAGCAGCATAATCTAGTTTTTTTCCTGGACTGTAAGCAAAACCACTTCAATACTAAAAAGAATTCGTTATGACCTCTTTATGATACTACCATTTCTTGAACACCACGGATTAACATCAGAACTCAGAGTCATTCCATGACAAGATGAGATAACATTAATTGCCTGAATTCTGAAGAAAATTAATACCTGATACTAAGGTATAACTTTTCTCTGTAATTAAAAATATTAAAATATTAAAAATAGACCAGACAATTTTAATGCAGCTATTCTCCCAACCTGTTTGTCAGCTGTTTTAAATTGTCAATTGGAAAATGCTGACAATGAATTTTAAAATCATATAAAAGTATAATTCTATAACCTGCAGATACCTTCCATGCATTTTTGCATTTTTCCCAGCATTTTCAGTGCCTAGCTTTTATTATACACACACACACACACACACACACAATTTATTTAAGGCTTACTAAATACAGTACCAAAACTTATGGTTAAATTTTTTTTTTTAATATTTATTTTTTAGTTTTCAGCGGACACAACATCTTTATTTGTATGTGGTGCTGAGGATCGAACCCAGGCTGCACACATGCCAGGCGAGCACGCTACCGCTTGAGCCACATCCCCAGCCCCTGGTTAAATTTTTTAATATCTTATTATCCTTCCAACTAGTCTCACACTGAAAAATTAATTGATTTGGTCAGGGTCACAGCTAGAATTTAAAAATCTAGTACAGTAGTCATCCTCCCTGCCAAGGTGGACGCCTCAAATTACAGATAATACCAAATTCTATATATACTATTTTTTCCTATGTCCTGATGCATTGCATCACCGCTTTGATAGTTAATTTTAGGCAACCTGACTGGATTAAGGAATACATATAGACTAAGGGTGTTTTCATAAGAGATTAGCATGTGAGTCTGGGTGAACAAAGTGAAGATCTTCCTTCATTGTAGATGAGCACCATCCTACTGGCTGGAGGCCAAGATAGACAAATACAGAAAGTGAATTAGTCCCTGTACCCAAGAACTGGGGTAGACTGTTCTCCTGCCTTGGATATCACAATGCTAAGCTTTTCGACCTCTGGAGTTCAGAACTTATCCCAGCAACTCTCTACCTCTAGGTTCCCAGACTTTTAGCCTTTTAGGAATTAAACCAGCTTCTGTTTTTTAGATAGCCTAATATAAAACTTCTCAGACACCACACATCATGAGTCAATTATCCTAAGAAATCTCCTCTGTGCATCTATATGCATATCCTGTTGGTTCTCTCTCTTTGGAGAACCCTAATACAAATGTGTGATCAGAATGTTCAATCTGATAACCCAGATGGCTATTGAATGACTAAGATAGGTAGTTTATACAACGTGAATACACACAACAAAGGGATGCAGTAGGATGGCACAAGATTTATCACATGAGCCAGAATAATGTGAAACTTAAAACTTACAAATTTTTTATATCCAGAATTTGACAGTTATTATTTTTGGACTGCAGTTGACCACAGTTAACTAAAACCATGGAAAACAAAACTGTAGCTAAAAGGGTTAACTACTGTACTTATATCTCAGGTGTGACTCCAAAGACCAATCTTTTTTTTTCTTTACTTTTATTTAATTATTTATATGTGATGCTGAGGATCAAACCCAGTGCCTCACACATGCTGAGCAAGTGTTCAGCAACTGAGCTACAGCCCCAGCCCCCAAAGCCCAATATTAACTATAAAACTGCAGCACCTGTTTCTCTTCTCCCCAATTTGGCATAGCTTCAGCATTTCCATAATAATTTCTTGACTATTCAATAATCTTATTATATAGATATACCATGATTTATTTTCCTATTCACCTACTACTAGCCAGATATACATATGTATTTATTAAGGATAAACCCAGAGCCTCACATATGGTAAGTATATGCACTACCACTGGGTTATACCTTCTATCCCACAATTTTTTTTGTGGGGGGGGGGGGGGTCCCAGGGATTGAACTCATATCCCAGCCATGTTTTTTTTATTTTTATTTAGAGACAGGATCTCACTGAGTTGTTTAGTGCCTCATTTTTTGCTGAGGCTGGCTTTGAACTCGCGTTCCTCCTGCCTCAGTCTCCAAGCCGCTGGGATTATAGATGTGCGCCAGCGCTCCCAGCCACAATTTTTTTTTTTTAATCTGTCCCTATTTTGGTTTTTTGTTTGTTTGTTTTTCTGGTTCTGGGGATCAAACCCAGGTCTTCCCACATGCTAGACAAGCACTCTACCACTGCTTTCTCAGTCCTGTCCCTACTTTGGACAATTACTTGTTGCCAATAGTTGTTTGAAAATAAGTAGGGAATTTGGCTTACACATATAAAACTGGCAAATATCAGATACATCTACATTTTTTTTTTTTAACTGAAACAGGGTCTTGCTATGTTGCCCAGGCTATCCTTGAACTCGAAATCCTCCTGCCTCAGTCTCTGGTTAGCTGGGAATATAGGCATGCACAACTACACCTGGCTTTCTTTCATACAAAATGAACAATTTCAGGGTTAGGGATGTAGTTCAGGTTAGGGATACAGGATGTATGAGATCCTGGGTTCAATCTTCACTGCTGCAAAAACAAACAAAAAACAGTAAGAAACATAAGATGAAGGAAAAGAAAGGGATTGTTGAAATACCACAGGAATAGTCTAACATAGCATTTGCAGAAAAGCTCATGTTGTTCAACATTAGCAGACAGAATAGGAAAAAAAAAAGTGAGGCTTTCACAGAAAAGCCAACTTATTACATTAATTAGGTTTAATGAGATTATACATCATATATTAATGGTCTCATCAATAATGATTCCAATCTATACTCAACATTTCAAAAAATGGAAGTTTTTGGGCTGGGGTTGTGGCTCGGTGGTAGAGCACTAGCCTCGCACATGTGAGGTACTGGGTTCAATCCTCAGCACCACATAAAAATAAATAAAGATATTGTGTCCATGTACAACTAAAATTTTTTTTAAATGTAAGTTTTATATAAATAAACAAATATATATATATATATATATATATATATATATATATATATATATAAACAATATGTTGCTTATTCTTTAATTTCTAAATCATACTCATTCACACACTGACTGCCTGAAATATACATAAACATTATTTTATGACAAGGTAGAATATCTACATTATCTCAACTATACAAAAAAAAAAAAAAAAAAAAAAAGGTCCAAAATAGTGTTAAGGGACTTCCTTGAGTTAAAAATGCAAAACTAAGTATATTGGGCTGGAGATATAGCTCGGTTGGTAGAGTGCCTGCCTCACATGCACAAAGCCCTGGGTTCAAACCCCAGCATCACCAAAAAATAAAAAAAGAAAACTGAATATATTTATAAATATATATTTAAATCCCTGCATTTCCATTCCACTTTTCTTTTTGGGGGAAGCATGGGGGCTAAATTTTATGTAGATAATATCTGGCTCTTATATTTCCACTCATATTAAAGACATATAAACTCCTCTCCTTTACCAGTCCCCCACCTCCAATTATCAAGTGTTAACAAGACATCTTCCTAAATTTCTCTGGAATGGATCTCTTCCTTAGTTTCCTTTTGCAAGTCCATTTCTTCATGAGTCTATTATGTGAGATTTTAATTGCTCTGTCACAGTTTTCTCTTCTTCAGTCAGTGGTGACAGCTAGAAAACAAATGACAAAATTTTTATTTCAAAAATCTTCAAAGACTGTTAAACTCTGCTTCATCATATCAAAAAATTTTATAGCAACAAAAGTTTATTTATTTTTTAAATATTTATTTAATTGTAGTTGGCCACAATACCTTTATTTATTTATTTTTATGTGGTGCTAAAATCATATAAGGCCTCGCACATACTAGGCGAGTACTCTACTGCTGAACTACAACCCCAGCCCCTCCACAAAAGTTTATACTATGCATGTAATCACCAATTTTAGGAAGACAGGGGAAAAAATAAATATTTCATTATCTACATACAAGTTATTATGATGTTTGAGATTCCAGAGAAATTGCAATACAAAGAAAGATGACCAAGAAATCAAACAATTTTAGAACTAAAGAAAACCAAATAAATCATGTTTGTATGTCACATTCTAAAAGTATTTTGAAAAGGAGATGTGAATAAAAATAGTCTCAAAATTTTCTCAGAGAAATAAGAGGCATGGGCTAAACTTGGAAGAATAATTAAAATGTATTTAACTGCAAATAATAAACATTTCAAAATAGATAAACTATAAAATATATTATCATTGCAAAATAAGTTCTGAAGAAAGAAAGACTTCAAAGCTGACTTAATTTGGTAACTGAACCATATTGAGGAAGTCCTCAAGATTTTCTCCAATGAAGAAACTTCCTAATTACCTACTTCCAAACTTGCCCTCCTCACATCATTGGGATATAAGCCCATTCCTGAACCAATGTGAATAAAAGGAAAATCCACTCCCCTTTCCAATCAAATATGTCCCTAGATCTAAGGATAGGAACAACTTCAACACAGTCATGCATCTCTGAGGGAAGACATGAATCCCAAGAAAATCTATACTCTGATATATTGGAAGGAAATAGATAACAGCCAGCCAACACTATCTACCAAAAGCAGGAAGAAGCAAGAGCAAAAGCTAGAAGAAGGAAAACAAAGGAAGTTATATAGAATTTTCACAAAGCACCAAACAGTCTGCATGAAACAAAGGGTTATATGGGGAAATAATAGGAGATACAACTTGAATCACTCAAATAGTTACAAATCTGCTTCATTATATAGGTCATCTCTAGAGAGACTGCTAAATCTGGAGCACCCAAGACCTACAGAATCAGAATCTCTAGGGCACTGCTGTCCAATAAAACTTTCCATGATGCTGAAAATATTCTATATCTGTACTGTCCAATTGAGAGGTGAGTAACTTGAATTTTCAATTTTGTGTAATTGATTACATTTATACAGCCACATAATGGCTCTTGGCAGCCTAGATGTCCAATAGAAGCTACACATATAGCTGGTGTGACTGACGAACTCCAAAATAATCACATGGATAAAATCATATGCCTTACTGCAACCCAAACAGTTACAGATTCACTGAGAACTAACAAGTCTTTCCAGAATATCATTTACTACCATTGATAGGAAATTCTGTCTCAGCACTAAAAATATAAACTTTAAAAAGAATTCTGGACCAAATTTACTGGGTTATTAACCTGTGAAAATTACTCTGGCTACTAGCCCATAATTGAAATATAATTTAGTACAGAGCTAGCAGATGAATACAGCGCAGGCAGCCCCACTTTGTTCACATACCCACTGCATAGACTATTTTCTGCCATTCCCAGATACAGTATAATACACCATGTTAAGTAGCCATTACCAATTAGCACCTGAGATAACAATTTATAGGACATCCTTCATCCATATAATTTAGTTCTACACTTTGATTTCTTCTATAAATAGCCTACATTTTCTTTCTAAACTCCCAATTTTCTTTGCTAATAAAGGAACATGATGCCAAATCCTTCAATTGTCTTAGTCCCTAGGTTAGCAGCTCATATCCTTTTTTCTATTCTAAGGTATCTTTAGACTACATCAGTGATAGAGACTCCCAATTACAAAGATTCCTATACTAAATGAGATGGGGATGGGGAATGGAATGAGAAAATGAAAAGGGAAATGGAAGTTTGGTCCACCCATGCCTGACAACTCAATTGAAAGAAAGCAGAATTAAAAGAAAAAAAAAAAGGGCTGGGACTTTTCAGTGCCAGAGCACTTGTCTAGCATGGTTTTGATACCTAGTAGACAGAGAAAAAAAAAAAAAAACAGTCACTGATATTAATGTTTTCTGTCTTCTAAGTCTTATTACTTTTTATAAGAACCAGCAGAGTGGGTACATCCAATAAACTATGGAGTAAGTTCTCTCTTTCATATGGTTAAGTAAGTTAACCATGTCACATTCATGTCTTATTTTAAAATACAAGGACATAAGAGCAATTACACTTCATACCTCAGGGTATCAAGAAAATCTCACCAGATACAATGGCACATGCCTATAATCCCAGAGGTTTGGGAGGCTGAGGCAGGAGGATCACCAGCCTCAGCAATTTGGTGAGGTCCTTAGCAAATTAACAAGGCCCTAAGCAACTTAGTGAGACCCTTTCTCAAAATAAAAAATAAGGTCTGGGATTGTGGCTCAGAGATAGAGCGTTTGCCTGACATGTGTGAGGCACTGGGTTCAATTCTTAGCACCACAGACCCATAAATAAATAAAATTTAAAAATTCATCAACAACTAATAAAGATATTTTAAATAAATAAATAAATAAAAATAAAAAATAAAAAGGGCTGGAAATATAGATCAGTGATAAACTGTCCCAATTAAATACCCAGTACCTCCCCACAAAAAAAAAAAAAAAAAAAAATCTCAATTTCGTAATACCCTGAGTTTGGTCCAGCACCAAGAAAGAAAGAAGAAAAATAAATAAATAAATAAATAAATAATCTCATTTATATCTACAGTTCAAACTAGCTGCTAAATTTTAAAATCCAAATTACTAAGGGATTTATTTATCTTTTAAAACAACATTCACAGCTAAAATTATACAAATCCAACTTGTCAACTGAAAACATTACCTCCAGATCTGTTTGCTTTTGTAGTTCTTCTATCATGGTCATAGTCTTATTCAAAGTAGCATAAATGCGGCTCTTAGTCTCTTTCTGCTCAATAGCAACTGGTTTAAAACGTGCATATAAAGATTGATAGCGAGACTTCATCGCTGACAATTCCTTTAGGACAGAAACTGGATTTTTCTACATCAGAAAAAAAGTTAATATATGTTAAATCATGAGATGGAAAACTTAGGTTCTTTTTTGAGAATTAAAGCATACAGCTGGGGATGGGGCTCAGTGGTAGCACATATGCCTGGCATGTGTGACGCACTGGGTTCAATTCTCAGCACCACATATAAATACATAAAAAAGGTCTATCAACAACTAAAAAAAATATTTTTTAAAAAGAGCATACAACACATTCTGTCAATCATTAAATTAAAAACTGTTCACATTTATGCAACCACGTAACAAAGGATGGGAGCTGGGAAAAAATAAGTGTAAGCCCTAGATCCTACTCTCAAGGAAATTATAGCTTAAAAGAACACAAATAGCCTGTATGTAGGGAAGAGACTGAGGACATAGCTCAATTGATAGAATGCTTGCCTCGAATGCACAAAGCCCTGGGTCTAATCCCTACTACCACAAAAAAATAATAATAATAATATATGTATATATATAATTATATATGACAATATTGTATAATATATAAAATAATGCATATATATATATATATATATATATCAATTTTAAGCAGAAAAGACGGTCCCTTTAGATATATACCATATGATGCCTAGTTCACGTTAATTAATTACACAGTATTTCTAATATGATTCTATTGGTGTTCAGAAGAAGATTAAAGGCACTATTTGGATTTGTTCCTAAAAGAAAAAAATAACTTGACACACTCCTGTAATTCCAGCTACTCCGGAGGCTAAGGCAGGAGGATCACAAGTCAAAGCTAATGAAGCCAGATTTAAAGTTAGGTAGTCAGTGTAGTTAGGTAAATCGGGTCTAATACCGAGTGAAATCTAAAATGGAGGCCATGCTGGCAATGATTCCGGGAAATGCAGGACAACTCAAGGAATGTTAATGAAGTCCGAAAAGGCCCTAGGCCAAAGTCCACCTCAAAGAAATGTTAATGAACAGCCCCCAGCAAAAAGGTGCTGACTCAGAAGTCCTTCCTGACCAGATTACTTCTTTGGCCCACCTGTGTCCCACCCCTAGGTCCTTCCCACCTACATTCCATCACTGAAAGAACTATAAAAAGGGGAGACAACATCCCTTCCACGGATTCCACCTCTTGGGTCCCCTTCTTCCTCCAGGAGAAGTCTTTTCTGCTGTCCTTTAATAAACTTCTAATTTCTACTCTGACCTTGCCTCGGCCTGCTTCTTTGGTGTTATTCTTCAACATTGGGGAAGCAAGAACTCGTCACCGGTCAACAGCGGTAACACTAGCATGGGCAACTTCAGGAGATCGTGAGTCAAAAAAAGGGTTGAGGTTGTATATGGTGGTACACCCCTATAATTCCATCCACTCAGGAGACTGAGGCCAGCTAGGGCTAAGTAACCTACACCCTTCTGAAAATAAAAAAAGGGCTGGGGGCTGAGATATAACTCTCGGTTGGTAGAGTACTTGCCTTGGATACAGAAAGCCCTACCACAATACCCAGTACCTAAAAAATTAATAATAACAATAAGATAACTTGAAACCACTTATAAAATTCTTGAACACTATCATAGGGCTAAAGTATATGAATATTAATTTATTTTATATACATAAAAATACAAAATTCAGGGCTAGGGCTGGGGCTCAGTGGTAGAGCGCCTGCACTGAATGTATGAGGCACTGGGTTAGATCCTCAGCACTACATAAAAATAAATAAATAAAGATATTGTGTCCATCTACAACTAAAAAAAAAAAACCAAAACTACAAAATTCACGCCAATTCAAACAACCATACTTATAAACTATGTTGGTTCTTCGAATTGTTTTCGCAATATAAATAGCTATTATTTCATAATAAGAAATCAATTAGTTTCTCTCTCCACTTGGTACTATAATTCTTTTCAATAAATCTCTGATGCTTCCAACCTATTGCAAACCTTCACTCCCTCTACTACCCATCCTCTCCTACTTGGCACATGACTTTACCAAATGCACTGCTATAAAGATAGAAAAGATCCACTAGAAACCCTATTTTCCTGGCTTTTCATGGTAAAATGAAAACATCTATGACTTTCTCAACTTTATTCACCCTAACACTACCACTACCAAATCCTCCCCCTATCCTTCAGAACCTTAAATTTTTCTTTATTTCAATGTTTTCTTTGGGGGGGTGGAGGTTACTAGAGATTGAACTCAGGGGCACTCAACCACTATGCCATATTTCCAGCCCTATTTTGTATTTTATTTAGAGACAGGGTCTTACCAAGTTGCTTAGTGCATTGCTGTTGCTGAGGCTGGCTTTGAAGTCACAATTCTACTGCCTCAGCCTCCTGAACCTCTGGGATTACACACCAGCTTATTTCAATAATTTTTTAACATTTCCCTTTATATAGACATAAAAATATATAGTTATATCTTCCCAACTTGGGGGGAGGGGAGATTAATCCTGTCTTGCTTCCATTTTCAGTTTAACACCAATTTATTTTTCTTACTCCATTTATCATCAAGCTTTAGAATTTATAATAATATACTTCCTCAGTTTAATATCAGGTGGGTGTAATGGTACAAAATTACAATTATCTTATATTAGACAACAGTGCCAAAAACATGCATAGGAGAAAACATAGCCTCTTCAACAAATGATGCTGGGAAAACTAGAAATCCATATGCAAAATGAAATTAAACCCCTATCTCTTACCATGAACAAAACTCAACTAAAAAATGGATCAATGACTTAGGAATAAAAGCAGAGACCCTGGGGCTGGGGATCTGGCTCAAGTGGTAGCATGCTCGCCTGGCATGCGTGCGGCCCAGGTTCGATCCTCAGCACCACATACAAACAAAGATGTTGTGTCTGCCCAAAACTAATAGAAGAAAAAGTAGGCCCTAATCTTCAACATGAGGAATTAGGCCCCAACTTCCTTAGTAAGACTCCTTTGGCGCAAGAATTAAAATCAAGAATCAATAAATGGAATGGACTCAAACTAAAAAGTTTCTTCTCAGCAAAAGAAACATCTGTGAGGTGAATAAAGAGCGTACATATTGGGAGCAAATCTTTACCCCTCACACATCAGATAGAGCACTAATTTCTAGGGTATATAAAGAACTCAAAAAGTTAAACACTAAAAAAAAAATAACCCAATCAATAAATGGGCCAAGGACCTAAACAGACATTTCTCAGAAAGTGATGTACAACCAATCAACAAATGTATGAAAAAATGTTCATCATCACTAGAAATTAGAGAAATGCAAATCAAAACCTCAGCCGCGCGACCAGCAGGCTAGCTTCATACTAGCGGTTCGAAGCATAGAAATTAACTAGTGAGATCAAAATAAACACACATAAATTCAAATTACCTTTTTCTTTGACCAGGTCTGAGACGGCTCGCCCCTCTGGCTCCTGCCTCGAGCCCCGCGGTGGGGTAGCAAGGTTTACAGACTAGCAGGAGAGAGAGAGGCAGGGCACGCCAGAGAGTGGCCTTTTACTGGGGAACAAGAAATTCAGGGGAAAATTCCATCCAATGAAGGTCGAGGGGGACAGCATTCCAAGGTCAGGGTCAGTGATTGGTCTCAGGGTCAATGGTCAGTCACACCCCCACACGGATGGGCTCTCGCACCTAGAGAGGGTGGGGATTAGTTCTGACAGTTTAGCCAGAATGCCTCACACCCAATCAGAGAGATGCCCAATCACGTGCGAGAATGGCTTCCCACATATTCCTCCCTTTTTTTCTTCTTCTTTTTTTTTCAGTTGTTCAAAACATTACATAGTTCTTGACATATCATATTTCATACATTTGATTCAAGTGGGTTATGAACCCTGATTTTTACCCCGTATACAGATTGCAGAATCTCATCGGTTACACATACACGTTTTTACATATTGCCATACTAGTGTCTTTTGTATTCTGCTGCCTATCCTATCCTCTATTATCCCCCCTTCCCTTCCCTCCCCTCCCATCTTCTCTCTCTACCCCATCTACTATAATTCATTTCTCTCCCTTGTTTTTTCCCCTTTCCCCTCACTTCCTCTTATATGTAATTTTGTATAACAATGAGGGTCTCCTTCCATTTCCATGCAATTTCCCTTCTCTCTCCCTTTCCCTCCCAACTCTCATCCCTGTTTAATGTTAATCTTCTTCTTATGCTCTTCCTCCCTGCTCTGTTCTTAGTTGCTCTCCTTATATCAAAGAAGACATTTGGCATTTGTTTTTTAGGGATTGGCTAGCTTCACTTAGCATAATCTGCTCTAATGCTATCCATTTCCCTGCAAATGCCAGGATTTTGTCATTTTTTAGTGCAGAGTAATACTCCATTGTGTATAAATGCCACACTTTTTTTATCCATTTATCTATTGCGGGGCATCTAGGTTGGTTCCACAGTCTAGCTATTGTGAATTGTACTGCTATGAACATCGATGTAGCAGTATCCCTATGGTACGCTCTTTGAAGGTCTTTAGGGAATAGTCCGAGAAGAGGAATAGCTAGGTCAAATGGTGGTTCCATTCCCAGCTTTCCAAGGAATCTCCATACTGTTTTCCAAATTGGCCACACCGATTTGCAGTCCCACCAGCAATGTACAAGTGTACCCTTTTCCCCACATCCTCGCCAACACTTCTTGTTGTTTGATGTCATCATGGCTGCCAATCTTACTGGAGTGAGATGGTATCTTAGGGTGGTTTTGATTTGCATTTCTTTGACTGCTAGAGGTGGTGAGCATTTTTTCATGTACTTGTTGATTGATTGTATGTCCTCCTCTGAGAAGTGTCTGTTCAGGTCCTTGGCCCATTTGTTGATTGGGTTGTTTGTTTTCTTATTGTTTAATTCTTTGAGTTCTTTGTATACTCTGGATATTAGGGCTCTATCTGAAGTGTGAGGAGTAAAAATTTGTTCCCAGGATGTAGGCTCCCTATTTACCTCTCTTATTGTTTCTGTTGCTGAGAAAAAACTTTTTAGTTTGAGTAAGTTCCATTTGTTGATTCTTCCCTTTTTTTCTTAAAAATCAGGCAGTGGTTCACTCTTTCGAGTTTCTGCAT